GGGTACATTTTAATGTCAGTACTCTGTATAAATAATGTGTAATTTACCAGCGCCAGATGACAATTAAAATGCCATTCCGTTGAACTACACCACCACTCGCACGAGTATGCAGTAGCTCACAGCCATAATTCACAGCCAAATGCCTCAATCCCCCACATGCCAACTACATATTTCGGATATATACCCACCAGTTAATCTTAACTGCAATGCGATAATCAATAGTCTGTTGAAGCTAATTGAAATTGCTGCCAAAAATACACTGCAAGGGATCGTGGTTATTTTTGAACAAGCAACAAAGGGATTCAGTATTTAAAGAATGCCAACAGCAGTGCATTGGTCCTTAATATAATCAAAAAGATAATATTTTATTTATTACATTTAATATATGATCCATTAGTTTGGATCTTATAGTACCCTTTCACAAATTCTCCTCCTCTTCCTTCTCTTCTTCATTCTCTACCTTCGATCCATTAGCTTTTTATCTTTATTATTTGTTAATTTCGTGATATAGTCTCTAAAGGATAACTGCATGGGGTTTGCGGACACATACTAGCGATAGTCCATGAATAAAAACCAACCTTAGTTGCTGTTCAGCAAGTACTCAAATAAACAGGCACATTCGCTACCATTAAACCAGGCTATGACTCCAAATTCTTTAGCTTACGACTATGCCCCACTTGGCTCATAAACATCTGCTTGTTGAGTTGAAATAAATGCATTTAACTCAGATATCCTATCGTAGCTGTACGTCTAGACAGCAGATTCAGATTTGTATCTATCAATTACGTTTCCAGACCTCCCTCCCCGGCACACCGACTACTATAAACGTCACAGCGAACAATTTATGAATCATAAACAAATCCGTTGAGTAAATGGCGAAATGAAAATGAAAAGTGCATTCTAACTCATTTAAATACAATTAAACTGCTCCAAAATGGATAATGGAAAACGCTTTTGGGAACTACTCAAGCATATGCCATACATATGCCATACATATGTATTTCGTGATCTGAGCGAGCGACAATCCCTGTCTGTCCGTGTCCGGGTTGGGTCTCTCGGTTCCATTGAAGCGTGGCCCCCCCATGCAAACACCAAAATAATTTGCTAATGAGCTTTGCCAAAGTATAGCGTCCAGGACCACTCAACTGTAGAGGATTTCCATGAGATTGTAGCTGGTCGATGGCAGAGGGGCTGCCTGAGATTACATGATGTCTGCCAGGGGTGGGGATGTGCGGGGGGGAATCTTTGGCTTTGCCTGACTTTTGACTTGCATTGTTATATGATTTTCGGCCTTTTCCTGGTTGTATTTTTTTAATATTGGAGAGCAGCCGCAAGTGTTTCGGTATAATCGCAGCAAATACCTGGGCAGCATTTAATGACCAGTTTAAGCACTTCATGTGGATTTTCCCCAACCCAGCGAGCGCTTGTGTGTTAATTTGGACCAAATAAATGGTGTGTGTACCGGCTCTAAATCCATATATCGGCCATAATGTCTGCCGTATGGTGTCTGGTGTCGGCGGGGCAATAACTTAATGCTTTCCATTCACGCCAAGCCAGATACGATAATGAGGCAGGGGGCCAGCCAGACAATTGATGCGAGCATGCGCGATCATGTCTATGGTTTTATGATCATTTCTATGAGTGGCGGAGATCTCCCGACCTGGCGACCTTGTGGTTATTTATGGACTCCCATAAGATGTGTCGATTCAGTGAATAATCGATTGGGCAATTGGAGGAGTCGTCAAATGTCAGAGATCAGCGGGTGAAGAAAAGTTTTCTTTGCCTATTTGCCGTGCCGATTGTTACGCACTAATCAGTCAGATGATTCGCCGCCTCATTGTTTCCCCCCCCCATGCCCCCATTGCACCATAAATCGCAGACTTTAATGAATGAAATCGGGAAAGCGTTGCAATCATCAGGGGCCCCCAGCCCCCATCCCCAATGCTCACCCGTACCCAAATCTCTGGTCGCGAACAATGAGCACACACGGACAATGACAGACTTTATGAATGAGTGTTGAAGAAATATTCATAAAATAAGAAAAAGAAGGAGAAACAAGATTTTCACACTAGCACCAAATCGTCGTGGCTGTAGTCGCAGCCAGCGAGGCATGTAAACCCGTAGTTTTCGTCGTGGCTTGGCATTAGCCAAGTGGCCCCCTGCCCCCCTCTCGAACTGACTCCACTAACACACCCGGATAACTTCATTTACATTTTGGGCGTGAGAAGAATATATATATTTATGTACATATATGGCAATACAGAAGATCTGCTTCATCGGCTCTGGCTCTGGCTGTGGCTCTGGCACACGGGTTGCCTTAATTAGATTATAACCTGTCGGCAGTTCCACATGCAGCAGTAGCTGGTAGCTGGTATCTGGTCCCAGCGATCTCCTTGTGGCTCATTTGAATTGCGTGCCAAAAATTGTTATCGCGCTGTTGCACAACACTAAAACCGAAGCAAGGCGGAACTGGGTTCATCATCCATAAAGTGCATTTGCCTATTGTCCCAATTAGCTGCTTGGCCATGACTACTGGTGCCCATAAGCCATAAGCAGCAGCAGCAGCAGCAGCAGCACAATTAACTTGTCTTGTAAATGCTTGCGGTTGCGGCCAAGAACTGACTGTGTGAAATGTTCACACATTACACATTTTACACATTATTAGCAGCCATTTGAATTCCACAGCTTCCGTTTACATGAGCAGGCGATAAGTATTTCGATAGTAGATGTCGCGCTGCAAATCGAACCACTGCAATCGGCATTAACAGTTATATATATTTTATATTTATAATTTCGCAGAAAGACAATGACAAATCCGCAGATTACTAATGCCCACAATCAAATCATTACCAAACATATTTCTTTAATCTCGGCGCTTTTGTAAATGTATGCAAATTCCCGCGCCGGGCCTGTGCCAAGGCTCTTTACAAGAGAAAATCCGCAGAGACAAACAGAAGCAGAAATAATCCCTCGGCCAAGCTAAAGACAAATAAACATATTGTTAACGATGTGAAAATGTGCACAACAAAGCCTTTTGGCCAAAGACACTGGCAATTAGCCACGCACCCGCACATCGCTCGGGTCTGCGATGGATGGCCCTGGACAACATAGCATCCACTGGCAGCCACTGACATTTCAATAGAACCGTCAAACGATTCCATTTAACACAATTTATGAGCTGCTTCTGATTCTTAAATTCCGCACACATAAGTATAACGAATGCGTCCAAGTGCCGGTGGCATTAACCAAATTGTGTGTCCGCTGATAACTGGATTCCGAGTCCCAGCGGCAAGCACACCACCTTGGCATTTAAACCCAAAGCAGTGGGCAAAAAAGTGGCCAAGCAACAGGAAGATGGCAGCCGCCAGCCACAGCAAATAAAAACAAAATCAACCGTTGCCGTTGAAAATTTCTTAATAGAAGCGCCGAAAAGCTAAAAAAAAAAAAAAACGAAACGTTACTAAAAAGCTGCGGTCGGTCGCGCAGCATTGACTTGGAATCACAAATTAAATGTTAATACTTATACTTATACCCAGGCAAAAGGCAAAAAGGGGCAGAGGCAACAATGGATCAGAGCTGCGGCGGCGCATGAGACAAAAACCGGATTTGTGGCAAACATAGAGCACAGACAGAACAATGTGCGCATAAATCTAGCGTCAAAACATGAATGCAATTTACCCCAACTGAATGAGCGATTGCCAGGGATTAGCTCCAGCTTCAGCTGGAGGGGGCCGGCCGGGCCTGATCTCAAAACCTGCTCGCAGCTATACTAGTGGTAGTCGTAATCGTAATCGTAATCAAATCAAAACTTGACATTGTCTGACTCTGAGCCCCACTTAAGAGTGTGGTAGAAAGGAAGCAGCTGGGATCATTGGGAATACCGAAGACCTCTCTCACACGAACACGCATATAAACTGACAGATTGCATAATAACCGAAGATACTCGCGTACAGGCGCTGGGGATCTCGTCCCGCGGTTTCACGGAGACATGCAGTGAAAGTTAATTTGGCAAAAATATGTAGAAAAAAATTATGAAATGAAATGTATTTTCCTTTCGTTTGCCACTGCATTGGCATTGTCTTTTGCCACCGCCAAGTGGCAAGTAGCAAGCGGTTGCCGGTTAGCGGTTAGCGCGGCAAGCGGAAATGGTAACAAAAAACAAAAAAGCAAACGGCAGTGGGAGCAGACAGACAGCGCAACGCTTGGGCCGCCCAATAGGTTAATAAATACATTTCCAATGAAACAAGGAAGAGCGCGAGCTGCATCACGCCAAGATCGACAATGCATTCACACAAAGAGATAAGCGGGGGGGTTAATTCAATGTCAAGCCACAGCTAACGCCAAGAATGATTCGGGTGAACCAAACACGGAATAGTCAAGCGACAATAAACAGAAACAAGTCTCAATTACATTACACAGCGAGTGTAGGGAATATGCAAGAAAAAGTTGGGCGGCAAGTGCTGAACAGGCAAGGTCTGCCAGCCATCGCTTAATCACATTTAGCGTGAACCATTTCTCGTTTGTTGGGGGATATCTCTCTGCTGGGGCTGACAATTACATGTAACCACCTTGAAAGCTGCAGCAAATTGGCGACCGAAAGGCATTTCGCTGCCATTGTTCGGGCCAGGTGGCAGGCAGGCTGGCACTTGTCCGCGGCGCTGCCAGTTTAGAAAGGCCCAACATGAAACGGTCGAGTGGCACAGCGAAAGGTACCCGAAAAGTACTTCAACATGCATGTGCTCCAATCCAATCCAATCCTAATATAAATATACACTCCAGATATGTACCACGGGTTCGTTGATTTAGGTCTAGACATTTATTACACAGGCCGGGCTCGGTTACATGACGACAAGCGCTGCTCTGGCTGCTGGGCTGTGTGTAATTTTCGTGAGCTAAAGTTTAGTTATATTTTAAATATGTTTTTTGCTGCAACCAAATCACTGGGTTTTGGTTGTTGTTGTTGTTGCATTATTATTTGCTGTAGATATTGTTTGTTGTTATTGTGGTGTTGTTGCTGCTGGCATCCAGCTTACTTGGAATCGGCTGCCGCATTGCTAGACTTGGTGGCAGCTTTGATGGCCGCCGCCGATGTGCGTTTCACATTGACCAAGACATTGCGCTTGGTTGAAGCCGGGCCTGGCTTGCTGACTTTAACCGCCGTCTTGGGCGTTGCTTTCTTGACCGGCTGCTTGACAGGAGTTGTCTTGGCTGGTGTGGATGTAGCAGAGGTTGCTGCTGCTGCGGCTGCTGTGCCGGCCCCGGTAGCCACACCGGTGGTCTTTTTCTCTGCCGGCTTGGCAACTGCTGGCGCATTTTCTTTCGAAGAGGCAGTCTCCACATCATCATCGCCATTTTCTTCCTCTTTGGCATCTTTAAGCTTGTTTTTCTCGCTGCAATTGGACCAGTATTAAATAAGCAATTAAGTTGAAATGGGGAGAAAACGGGCAAAAATACCTTTCAATGTCAATGTTGAGGACCGATTCATCCTCTTCCTCCTCTTCCTCGTGGCTCATCGGATCAACTTCGGCGAGCAGGTCACCCAAGTCCTTGTCGACCTCCTCCCATAAATTTTCATCTTGGGGGTCGTCGCCCATATCAGCATCCCCATAATCTTCGTCATCCTCCTCATCGATTTTTGCGTCAGCATCCATTTCTTCATCGGCATCTGCATCGTCAGCCTTTTTTTCTTCCTCGTGCTCATCATCTTTGCGGTTCTTCTTTTCGGTCTCCTCCTTTTGGCGCAAGAACGCCTTAACGTGGGAATGCTGCAGACAATGCTTCTTGGTGTAATCGTCCAAGGAAACTTCGTCCGTCTTATTGGAGTAATGATTGCACAGGCCGCAATAGAATGCCTCAATGGCCTTGATGGATTCCGATCCAATCAGGCCACGCTTGCGCGTCTCCTCGTCAGTACTCTTCTGAGCGGTTTCAGCCTCCATTACCATAGCATCCACATCGGCATCCATCACGTCGACATCGGTCTCGCCAACAGAGTCGACGGTCAGGAATTTATTCAAATCAATCTCGCGCTCATCGACACTGTCGTCCGAGCCGGACTCATCGTTTCTGGCCTTGTTCTGCAAACGAACGACATAGATTGATCAGTATTTATGCTTTGAATGGTTTTTGGTTAATGAACATACGCGTATATGCTCCAGGGAGCAACGATGATTCTCATAGAGCATGGCATTCTTGAATGCCAAGTGGCAGGAGCCGCAGTAGGGCATCAGGAACTTCTTGATGGTCTTGTGGTGCTCGGAGGCCTGATGCAGATTCTTTTGCTGGCGATAGGCCAGGCGACAGAGGCGGCAATAGCGAGACTCGTGCTCTTCCTTGCTATTTTCCTCGATCTCACGCTGAGTGGTGCGCTGGCGGGCGCGCATACGCTGTAGATCAGCGCGCTGGTTGAGGGCCACCTGGCGCATGGCGTTCTTGTGAGTGCGCGAGTTCAAGTGGTAGTTGTACTCCTGTAGTTAGATAGGGATTAGGGAACGCGTCAGCGATACTGGCAGTGGATCCACGTTAGACCGTTTAGAGGAGAGACACCCACCTTGAAGGTCACACACTTGCAGTTGCAGTGGACGCAAGTGAGCTTAATGAAGCTGCGCTTGCGATTGTTGTGGTCATCGTCGCGATGGCGCGAGCTGTGATGCTCATCGTCGCTGTCATCCTTGTCCTTGCGTGAGCGCTCCTTCTTGTTGGGAGTCTTTTTGGACTTGGTGTCCTTGCCGTCCTTGGTGGTGTCGCCATCTTTGTCCTTTTTCTTACCTGTCTTATCGGCTGTGCTGGATTTGGCCTTTTCTTCAGACTTGTCGCCATCGGCACTCTCATCTTCAGCCTTTGCCTTGTCCTCGTCATCTGAGGCTTTGGCATTCTTGCTATCAGACTCATTCAAGGACTTTTCCTGATCTTCATCGTCGTCACGCTCATGCTCATCATCGTCGCCGCCATCGGCGTCACTCTTGTCCTCGTTTGCCGACTTGCTGTTGCGCTTTTTGCCAGGTGACTTTTTAGTCTTTTCGCCCTTCTTCTCACCATCGACGGCATCCTTCTCATCATCATCATCGTCCTCGTCGACGCCGATATCTTCGTCATCGTCATTGTCTTTGCCTTTCTTCTTCTTGCTATTCTCAGCATCATCGTCCTCCTTGTCCTCATTGTCACTGGAATTATCGCTGCTATTCCCTCCCAGGCGTTGGCGACGCAACGAGCTACATTGATTTGGGTGGAATGAATTCGAATTTGAAGTCATGTGCAGGTGGGAGGGAGGCGCAAATGCAAATGCAAATTTTTGTGTTTAGTACAGAATAAGCTGGGAATAAGCTAACAAATTACTTTTCTTGTCATAGTGTCTGGTGTTGGTTGGTTGGTTGGTTGGTCATTATTTTGATAGTACATTTCAATTTCAATTTCTACTAGTCACACACAAACAACAATATATACTTGTATACTTGTCTACGAAGAATGCGAGTGGTGCGATCCCCTCTCATCACAATTGATCTCGATCTCAATCTCAATCTCAATCCAGCCAATGGCATAGAGTGGGTGAATTGGAGTGGAGTGCTCTGCTCTCTTTCGTTTCGATCTCACATTATATTCAAATAGTTCTTTCGCTTTGGCATATTATTATCTTGGTCAATGGTCAATGATGCAAATTGGTACACACACAATTGATAAATTGAAGAAGCTCCGTTTACGGATATAAACTTTATCGTATATAACTCGGGTTGTTTTTTTTTTTGTACTATTTACCTTTTCAGCTGTTGAATCTTAAGCAGGCGAGCCCGATCTTTCTGCTGTGCATAGAGCAACTGGCGGCGCATGGTACGCAGATCATTGGACTCGTTGACGTTGCGGGTACGCACAACGCGCATGGCTCCAACCCGCATATTTCCACGTGTCATGCCGCCTCCACGCATGGACATTGAGCCGCGTGGGCGCGATATATAACTGGTGCCGGCCACACTACGCATCATACGCTTTGGCGGTCCCATTGACGACTCGCGCTGATTCCGGCTACCGGAGTTCGAGTCATCGCGCGGCCGATACGAGCTCGAGCTAGCGCCTCCGCCGGTGCTGCTGCGCTGATGGTAGTTCGATGATGAAGAGCCAACATTCTGCGATGATGACGATGGGCGATCGCTGCGATCGTTTGACGAGGACGTGCGACGATAATCCTATTGACGATTGACGAGTAGGAAGGAGTGTAGGAGCATTTTTTGTTTGTTGTGGTTTTTTTTTTGTTTTTTTTTTTTGATGTGATATCGAATATAGGTAGATATATATATAAAGATTTATATACTTGTTGGATGATAAAGAATTGCTATTGTTATAGAAACTGTATTACTCTCTGATCTTATCTGATTTGTGGGTGGTGGTTATCGCAACGATTATGCTGTTATATATCCTGCAGCGTGTAGGTGTGTGGTAGCATGATGAAGAAACCTTACACTCTTAGCTATTATTTAGATTTGGATCGATACACAGACGTGCATATATGCGTATATAGATAGATTATCTGTTGTCGGATTGATTATTATTTGGTATGGGGAGAGAATTGACTGCACTGCTGATGGTACGGTACAAGGCACAAGATAAAAGATTACAGATCAAAATCGCTTCAATCACATTTCTATACAGAAGTTTTTGCTTTCAGATCGACAGTTTAGTGAGTGGGTGGTAGTAGTAGGCAATATTATTTTTATCTTGCAGCCGTTTTGGCTGCACTCTCAAATCGATCTGTCGCTGGCCAAATATTTGCCATGCATTGCCTCGACGCAGCTGATTCTATGGACAACACAGATTATATATATTTATTATATATATATATGTATATATAGTAAACATCTAGTGCTCCCCAAAGTGCTTTTTCTGGCTACTTTGAGTTCCGTGCTGTTCGCTGTTTGGGATATGTTTTGCTTTAACGCTCGCTCAATAGAATCCCGCGTTTAAACTCCACAAACAGTGCTATAAATATTGGAAGAGTCATTAACATTACACAGAACATGGCGGCGTACAACTTAATGTATAATGATAACCTCAGAAATTACGTGCGCTTAGCGTTTTGGAAAGGTTAATATGTTACTTACGTCTATGCGCGGGCGCTTGTTGCGATCATCGCTGCGATCGCGTGATGTATCCTAAAGAGACAATAAAAATAGAATGCAGAGAATAATTAGAATTTTCACAACAGCACCTCTGTTTCGTAACGTACATAGCTGCGCTTGTGGCTGGAGCTGGACTCGTAGCGTCCGCTGCTGCTCGAATTATGGTGGGTAAACTTGTCGCGGCTGCGGTTATCATAGTGGCTATTGTTGCCGCCTCCTCCTCCTCCGCCGCCGCTGTAGCGGTTGTTGTTGTTGTGGTAGTTATTCTCGTAGCGTCCCCCATTGGGGCGGTAGTTTCCCTGGGTACGTGTGTTCACGTAATTGCTCGAGTTGCGATTATTGTAATAGCCACCGCGTGTGGTACCACTTCCACGTGGAATGAAACCGCCGCGTCCACGCATTTTTCTCTTCTGCAAATATAAACCAAGAAAAAATAGTCACTTTTTCCGGTTACGAACGTCTGTATGTCTGTGTGCGAACATGCGTATGTATGTGTTTGACCAGCGCAGCACCCCAATCGGCAGTGCGCCGGCGGCGTCGCTCGTGTGTGAAAAAATCGATATGCCGGTGCACTTTTTCTTGCGGAATATATTCCTTTTATTTTGCGGGTTCTTACCTTTGATTCTTTGATTATATTTCACAAAACAATTGTCTATTCACTAGCTTGCAAGTTTTTTCGCCACTGAAATCGCACGTTTCCTTTGAGTTTTCACAATTTTCACGAAACTATGGCGGACGACTTGATTACTGGATTTATCGAAATTGAATTATACTCTGCTGACTAGAGGTGTCAAACCATCGAGGGCACTTTCGATAGTATCGATGTTTTACTGCTAACCTCTACTAGTGACGGTTTTGCGACTATCATGATAGTATCGAGCTACAGTCGTTGCGCTTTTGATATGTTTGGATTAGCTGCTATAAAATACGAAGACACATTTTTCAACAAATAGACAGGTGGCATCTAATTTTTACAATGGACAAGTTCCTTAAAGGTTTCAATGGTTTTTTTATGAATTATTTGAGCCCGATTCTATCACGATAGTATCGATTGTTTTTTTTCCTAATATTCGTGAGTAAATTGAAATGAAACAATGGGTTAAGCGTTCTCGGAAATTATATTTCTTGATTTTTATATTCAGTTGTACCTTATTTTATAAGCAATCCAATAAAAAAGGGAGTACTTAAAGTTAGCCAATCTTGTATAGAATTGATTAATCTACCGAATAAAATTATCTATTCAGCACTAAGGGTCCTAGCTAAATAATAATTCTGAACCGCATTTGAAAATTGAGGAATATCATAAACAAAATATAACTAAATATTATTTAAATATTAATAAAAAGTCCTCAATAACTATTTTAAGATTATTTGTAGAATTTAATACGATAAAATATCCAGTTCACACACATGCATTTAGTTTACTCAAAGTAAAAGTAATAAAAGTTATAATAGTAAAGTGCAGTATGGCTAAATTAAGTTATACAAATGTACACACACAGAGGATGCCACGCCAGGATAGTTCGTCTTGCAGGATGATAGCATCAAATTACTCTTTGGAATGCGCTGCAGCAAAAGTTGGCAAGTTGACTTCAACGGAGCATTCCACGCTTAAACTATGCCCGTTGGACGCACATTTGTCGGAGGCTGGCCGGTACTGGGTTTGGTCATTATGTCCATGGCATTCTTGAAGAGCTGTGTCTTGACAAAGTCTGTGGCGGCGCTGTTCAGGTCCTTCCCAGCACCGTAGTTGCACTTGATGTACCCATATAGATTTGCAGCATTCAGGGCTATGGCAATCATGACCAGCAACAGCCATTTGAATTTCAGTCCAAATAGGGCCATCAGGAAGAACAGTCCCCAGAAAACCGGGCAGAGTATCAGTCCTAGCCAGAAAATACGCTGCTCGTGCTTGTTGATGCGACTCTGGTAAGATTCAGACTACGTTTCATTAGCAAGTTGTCCCCATTTCACGGCTGCGTGACTCACATTTTTCGACTCGAACACCCAGTGGGACACTCCATCGTCATCCACGTAATTCCACCAGCGCAGTCCAACGAGAAGTCTTCCAGAGATGTTCTTTACCGTCCAGAAGTCGGCGGAGAGGAACAGCACCACAAACACGAAGCTGGTAATGAAGGAGTCACTGAACCATCCACAGAACATATAGATCACGATGGCTGCACCCCGGAAGAACAGGTGAAAGAAGGTGACGTATGGATGCCTAGGGGGCCAGAGAGTTATGTTACTAATATGTACATTGTGGCGGCAGCTATGCTTACGTGTATTTTTCTCCCGCACGACTGGGATCGCGCATTTCATCCTCCTCGCCAAAGGGTATCGTGTCATCATCGAGGAGTGGCACCTGCGTAACACGTTAATAAATTAGTTCTACACTTTAAAGGGCTTTGCTTTGGCTGGTAAGTGTTATGGGCAGGCAGAATCTCAGGTTGTCTGACGTTGTCGTTGGCAGACCAAAAAGCTGCGTGTTAGGGATTAGTGCGGCATACATACATTTCTTACCGTAGCGGATGCCATGATTATGTTAAGGATTGACTAATTTTTATCAAAGCGTTTTAAGTTAATCAGTTATGCGAATTTTAATACATTTTCTTTGCCTAATTCTACGTTGTTGTTGCTTTTGTGCCTGCGTAGCTGTATATCGCACTATCTCGATAACTGCCCAGTGTGGCAACCCTAAAACTGGCAGCACTTCAACGTTGTTTACATTTTGATAACATATTGTTGTTGTTTTTAGGGCGGTTAACATTTCTTAATCATTAATTTAGCATGATTTAATTAATTAAAGGACTATCTAAACATCGTCTATAGTAGGGGGTAACTTGTAGTGTGAAGTTGGTTCGCCATAAATGAGTATTTCCCGCGCAAGCCCCTACATCACCCATGGGCAGGTTTTTAATCTTTATACTTATTGCTCTTTACAATGACAAATTAAATGGGTAAAATAATCAATAAGAGTGACTATTCAAAAAGCATATGTAAAATGTGTATGCTACGCCTTGTTCTGCTCCATGTGTGCGTTGCAAAACCAGAATGAGTGCAACCGCAATGGGGGCAGTCGAAATGCGTCCTCTGTGGTCTGTGGTGACGGCAAAGCATCGACAGAATAGGCCCACAAAAGTCAGCCTTAACTCAAAAAATCAGTCAGTATCTAGTCGATCGTCTGGGCAGCTTGTTTAATCCTGCTTCAGTCATGAGCAAGAGCCGAGAAACCGCCCGAATTGTAGTTGTTGGGGCTGGAGCCTCTGGGATAGCTGCCGCTACTCGTCTCCTGGAGAAGGGCTTCAATAACGTGCAGATCGTGGAGGCTGAGAGCCGCATTGGCGGGCGCGTACACACCATTCCATTTTCGGACAATGTTGTCGACCTGGGAGCCCAGTGGTGCCACGGAGAGAAGGGGAATGTCGTCTACGAGCTGGTGAAGGATCTCCATCTACTCGAGCGGACTGGAGACTTATACAGTACGGTACGGTGCGTGCGATCTAACAAGGAGGAAGTTCCTCAGGAGCTGGCTATCACCTTAAGAGGAATTGCCTCGACTTCAGTACCAGACGGTCCGAGTCCATACGAGGGGTCAGTGGGGGATTATCTGACTCAAAAGTATTGGAAGGAGATTGACACCCAGCTGCCATCGGTAGACCGCGCCCTGGCCAACGAGATGCTGGAAAGCTGCAAGAGATCCGAAAGCTCTTTAGAGGGCTCCGACAACTTGCTGGAAGTTTCGGGACGCGGGCATTTAGAATTCGCCGAATCTGATGGCGATCAGCTGCTCAATTGGCGCGATCAGGGCTTCGAGAGATTCCTTCGACTTCTGATGAGTGCCAGTGATCAGACCGATGACCTTGGAGTGCTCAAGGGACGTGTAAATTTCCAAAAGAGGGTTACCGAAATCAACAGCGACTGTCCCAGCAATTTGAAAGTTCGGTGCTCGGATGGAGTGACCCTCAACGCAGATCATGTCATTTGCACCGTCTCCCTGGGAGTGCTGCAGGAGCAGCATGAGACGTTGTTTGTGCCTGCCCTACCTTCAGCCAAGGTTAATGCGATTAAAAGCCTCAAACTGGGCACAGTGGACAAGTTCTATTTGGAGTTTGCGTCACAGCCGTTCCCTAGTGACTGTGCGGGGTTCTACTGTCTATGGATGGAGCAGGATCTGCAGGAGCTACGCAGCTCGGAGCTCTTTTGGCTGGAGAGCATCAGCGGCTGCCACCGGGTCACCTATCAGCCTCGCCTGCTGGAGGCTTGGATTGCGGGTGAGCACGCCCGCCACATGGAGACGCTCACGGAGGAAAAGGTACTCGAGGGTCTGAACTGGCTTTTCCGTAAATTTCTCAGCTTCGATGTGCCTCAGCCTAAACGCTCTGTGCGCACCCAATGGCATTCCAATCCAAACTTCCGTGGCAGCTACAGCTTTCGTACCACACGAGCCGATGAGCTGAATACTGGTCCCTGGGAACTGCAGACTCCTGTGATGTGTGACAATGGTCACCCAATCTTGCTGTTTGCGGGCGAGGCCTCGAGCAAGACCCACTACTCCACAGTACATGGTGCCGTTGAAGCTGGTTGGCGGGAAGCGGAGAGATTAAATGATTTTTACCAAGATATTTCTCATACTCAATAAAATTAGTGGAAAGCGTGAAAATTTTTTTAATTCTATGTCAAGCTTGTCCATGTCGTTGCTCATGGTTGGAAGATAGCCAAAGTTGTCGAATATAAGCTGGGTAAGTTTACAGGATCTCCTCAAGTTCGAATAGATTTCTCAAATATTTTGTATACATAAGTACATATATATTTTTGTTCTTTATAGTGCTAAAAAAAAGAGATGTAACATTAAAGTTGCACCTAATATTCCATAAAACAAATAGAAAAGAATGATACTTATAATGTAACTACTAATTGTTGAATGAGAAAAATAAACATTAAAGTTGCATACAACTTCCGGGCGGGTCTTGCTTAAGTTCTCTCCTAAATGCTGTCCTTAAGAACACAAATTTGGTTATTTTGATATGGTCAGACATCTTAACTGTATAGAGCCCTATCGACTATAATTCCGTGTTCGATGAGAAAACTTTCGACATCGCTGGCAAAAAAGTCGTCGCTCAGATCATCGGTTAAGCGCACAAAATTTCCAACTACACTTGCAGCTTTATACACCAGCAGGGCCGGAAGCCCTTTTGTGCGGAAGTCCCTGCTCATGCCAGCCACAGAGCTACATATTTTGGCAAACTTAATGGACGGATAATCGCTGGCCAAGCTTTCAAGGCACTTGTTAAGCGTACTGCAGGCCGTTAGGCTTTTATCATAGATGTGTACGATGATTGTTGTGTGCTTGCTTTCCTGCTCCACGCAGGCCAGAAACTCCCCGTGGCTGCTCAGCTGGTGCACCTTTCCAAACTGTTGATTGTGTCCGGTTTGACGAAGCATTTCGGCCATTCGTTGCTTCTGGTACTGTTGCAAGAAGTCTTCACTCATCAGCTCTGACAGCTCGTCGTCCAATTCCTCCTGGCGCTTGCGCTCCTCATCTTCAGCGGTCGTGGTCGTAGTCATGCTCAGTTTTTTGGCCAGGTCCAGGCGTTGACGTTCGGTTTCATCGCGACGCTCAGCTTCCAGTTGCTTGAAACGCTGCCAGTCCTTGACAACACCCTTGGGTCCGGTATTGGTAGATCCTTGCTGACGAAAGCCCCCCGCAGGCGCTGCATCCGGATCCGTATTAATAGTCAGTCCACCCGCGGCTCCTTTCCTGCCGCCTGCTTCTTTCTCATCGTCGCCATCGTGGTCATTGTCTTCGCCCTCGCTGCTGCTGCAATAGTACTCCAGCTTCTCTCCCAAAAGTTTATCCTCCAAAGTCGCCATGGCCGTAAAATGTTTGATTTTTTGATTTTAATTGAATTAGAAAACTTATGGGCAGTGTGACCGCGGATTTATCGAAAAAATTTATACCGTCTGTCCCTCAGAAATACACCGTAAAATACCAAACTAAAATGATCAAATATACCAACATATTTTTTGCTGTTTAAGCCTAGTACTCAGACGCGCTAAATTTTCCGTCGACCGAAATCAGGGATGATATTCGTATGAAACCGATAAGAAATCATCCCTGTTTTTTTGGTCGACCGAAAATTTCGTAGCAGGCGTTTCGCAGACCGGTACTCAGTTCCGAGAAAAAGCCATTCGATACATACTAGAAAAGCAACCGATGGTATTTTCCCATCTCGATCGGAACATTGAAAATTTTCAATTTCCGTCGTCTAATGACATGACACAAAAACACACACAACACACACACATTAAATATGGAAGGAAACAAGTGCAAGCCAGCTAAAAAAGTGCAATAATGAAGATAAATTAAATTTAGTTAGGGAGTCGAATTAATACCGATTGTATGGATATTATTATTTATTAATTTTACTCATTTTAATCTTGAAAAAGGAAGATTAAAACCATGTTGATTGCTATCTTTCCTGCAGGATCGGATTTATTCAATAGTGCCGTGTGCATTATCGCCCTCCAGCTCCACAGCGCCCACAAATAAGACATTTCTGCTTACTTTAGCAAAACATTTGAAATTCAAACAGATTTCTGTTTGTAAACAAACACCAAACAGTGTAACCGTAGAGCATACATTTTGCCAACTTAGGTCACACTAGGAACCGAGCGGAATATATAGCACTTTCGGTCGACTGAAAATTTAGCGCGTCTGAGTACTAGGCTTTAAACATATTTAAAGTAATAAGCGTACTTAAAAATTGGGGAACCTTGTGGAAAACTAATTCGTGTATCGGATACAATCTAGTGCTGAGTGTCCTAGCTGAACGGAGTAGCAATCTCGAGCCATACCGCTGTCCAACAACTTTTCTCTTGCTCTGGCCGCAAACAATGTAAACAACATTTATTTCAATATATTTGTGCTATTGGCATATAAATATATATTCAACAGCCCTACTTATGATAATTTCGACCCAAGAGATGAGGTAAATTGTGGAAATGACACTGGCACACCGGGCACTGTTTACGTGGTTCATAGTACTCGTCTTTTTGATCCTATTGTGCCTGCGCCTTGATCCGCGCACTACATGGAATTGGTTTGTTACATTTACACCGCTGTGGTTCTTCGACTGCATTCTCATCATCTACGTGATCATAAAATTCATACGCAAGTGGCGGAATCTGAACCGTCTGACAGACCTGCTGCTCCTGTATAAATGGAACATAGGCGGAGTGCTGCTGACCATCACATCACAGGTAATGATATGCCTGACATTGGAATATCCCCAGCAGATACCCATCTACGTGACCATCGCCCCTTTGATACTGCTCCTGAGCACCGCCATTTTCTATGTGGGCAGCAGGCTCGGCAAACGGGAGGGCTGGTTGAATTGAACCCCGGATTAGTGTACCATTAAACGTTTATTTTAAGTTAGCTCGTAAATAAAATGGAAATTCAGAAACCATATTTGCTTTGTGTGGCCCGTCGAGTTTGCCGGTTGGCCGACCACATTGCCTGGAGCTCGGCTTCGTTGGCCTTTGCCTTGTGCGCCAGGTAGGTGATTTGATGCTTGCGCCTGGTGCCGGCCACAGGCTCGTCGTCCGTTAGCACGCCCGTTGGCTGAAATGTTGTGGAAGAGGTCAAGGCGGTGCGCATCCATTCTTCGCGATCGGGCAGCACCTGCGACCCAGCTATATCAATCACTTGTATGTCCTTGGTCTCCTTTCGACGGCGCTTGGCATTTTTGCCCACCAACGCATCCATGGCCTCCGGATCAAGCTGATGTTCATGATAGCGCTTTTGTGCGATGTGCATCTGTTCGTCTTGGAGACGAGCCGCCTCCGCCTCAGCTGCCTCGACCGCATTTCGGGCAGCCATCTCGTCCAGGTATTTGCCGCTGGCCTCCACCATTTTGGCAGCCCGCTTGGCTACCAAGGCGCTGATCTCGTTGCTGCTGACCTCCGGCAGTTTCTGTTCTGTGTTTAGCGAGAAAAAGTCCCCAGCTTCGTCGTCATCATCTTCTTCACTGTCGCTTGCATTCACCAGAGCAGCTGATGGCTTCTTTTGCTGCTTTTTGACAGCACCAGTCCCTTGGGCATTGGGTGAAGGCTTCTTAGCAGATGATTTCACGCCATCTACTCCTTCTGTGTTGTGTGCAGCACGGCGGTGCTTCACTGTATCAGGTACAAAGGCTGGCGCAGCGGCACGAGACTGTGACATTGTGTTTGTTGACTTTGGAGCATTTGAGGTGCCCGTGGCCAGCTGTGGAGCCTCTGCTGCTGAGGATTTTGCAAAATTGCGCTCAGACTTAGCTTGTGGCAGCAGACTCAACAGTCCACATCCTTTGGGCATGTTGGCCTTATTGTCTTTGTTCTTCGATTTCTCTGCCTTTTCCTTGTCCACATCCGAAAAGTCCCTCAGCGATGGTATGCTAATCTTAACGCGTTCTTTGACTGGTGGAGGCGGAGGCTTCTCCAATGCATCGCCCCCGATTGGGCACGGCCTTTTTGTGCAGGAACTCATCGTCCTTTTCCTCTATAACCGCTTTTCCAACCGCTGCTGCGCGTGGCAGTGGCAGCTTGGCAAACGGGAGTGTCACCTGCTCGTCCACATCTTCCTCTTGAATCTCCTCGAAAGCCACTTTTGGCTTGGGTAGTGCTAGTGACAGGCGACCACTGGGAGTTTTTAGCTGCTGCAAGGACGCTTCTTGTGGTACATAGTCGTCGTCCTCGTCACTAATATGGCCATTGAATGGAGTTTCTTGCACGGGCAGGGCGGTTTTTCCTGTTGTATTCGGCTTGGACTGTGGTTTCAACAGTTCCACCTGCGGCCCAGTGTTATCATCTTCATTTTCGGACTCTTCATCGCTGCTGGCGGCATAGGCAACAAGCGACATGATTGCTTTAATATTTTTATTGTTTAATAATAACAAATGATAGCAGTGTGACCGCGGAGTTATCGACTATACCGATTGACCCTCAAAAATATACCAAAATATACTGACGGACACGACAAGATTGCGTTGATATTCCTCGATTTTAATATTCGGCTTAATATTATTAGCTAGTTTATTTCAGATTAATAACATATGACAAAACCACAATTTAGCTGATTTATATGTTTAGAGTTGACACCTTAATTAATCTTAAATCTGCGTGCCGCTACCCAGCACTATTGTAGGCGGCCGTTAGGCCATTTAATCTATTTAAAACTAGGGTGTTTTTATTATTGCCGCAATTAGCTGCGATTTAAAATGTTTACCTGTTTATAGACCTGGAGTATGCTTACTATAGCTGCTCACTAGGATCATAAAACCTTCAGGTAGATCCCAAGTGCCACAAGTACATAGCCAAGGGCTTCTTATGGGGTATATATAATCAGGAATATCTCCACACAGTTCAGTCAATGTTCTCTACTTGCAGAGTGCAGTAACAGGAAAATGCATCACCATCAAAATCTAGGAGAAGCAGCTGCCATGGCGGGCATGCTGCCGCCGTATGAAGCAATGGCGATGTACGAACAGCCCAAGCCCCGCTTCATCTTTAAGATGCCCCGGGTTGTGCCCGATCAAAAATCAAAGTACGACAGCGACGAGCTGTTCCGGCGTCTTTCACGAGAGACCGAGGTTCGCTACACTGGATACAGAGAGCGTGCCATGGACGAGCGGCGCATGCGATTTGTGAACGACTGCCGGAAGGGCTATGCGGAGCTCTCCTTTACGACATCGGGCACCAACGTGCATCTCTACTTCAATGCCAACCACAATCCCTATGCCCAGGACCAGGAGTGCGACTTTGAGCGGGAGCGCGGCAAGGTGCATCTTCGTTCCCATTTCATTATGAACGGAGTTTGTGTGCGCTTCCGCGGCTGGGTGGATCTGGACCGATTGGACGGTGTCGCCACACTGGAGTTTGACGAGGGACGCGCCCAGCAGGAAGATGCCCAGCTGCGGGAACAGATCGAGAGCTATAACCAACGCATGACCGAATCGAAGCGCATATATCCCGTGCCTCACACACCGCCCGATGACCACATTCGCCGTGGCGGACCCGGAGCCGTGCCGGGTGGACCGATGGGCTGGTAGGGATTCTACAGTAGCGAAATTGTTGGATAACCGATTTTAAAAATCACCTTCACTGCCAGTAGATTAAGCAGAAATCTCAGTACCTTCTGAAAATACATATTTCTCATGTCATTTAATGATTGTTTTTGCTTGTGCTCCCTCCTTAAGGGTTGATGTCACTGTATCGGGGTAGCCGGCCGGGGTCTACGGCCTTAATTACGACCGTTTTCAAACAACCACCGTCAGTGGCACTGCAACCACCCAAACACCACCTAAAGCATACAGTCCATCTGCCGTTCTCCCTGCTGCTGCTGCTGCTGGTGAGAGGCAGAGTCGCCCTACTGCTTGCGAGCGCCGAGCATGTGAGCATATCTATGTACTATATTGATTTTCTGACATTTTGCTTCGGATGCTGCCGAAATAAACTTTGCAACTGGTCCGCGCCTCAGTCTCTTTTCGAACGCGAGCGCGCCGTGCCGTTTTTTTGGACGAGGAACAGCAGCCGAGAAAACGCTATAGGGAATGCCGCAGAATAAGAATTCATAAAATTATACATACTACAGAAAGCGGTTTGCAAAACCATTCAAATTTCTGCCTGAAATTGTTGCTGCTGTTGTACTTTTCCGTTCGGCACGAAAAAGCTGCGACGTGGGCTAAATTTAGCGACCGGTGTATTATTTGTAGGGTGCTGTTTTGTACGTGTATATGGGATCCCAGTGAACTACGCCCCCCACAACCCCTTCGAGAGGCGCGCGCGCGCCCCACACTTGCTGCCCCCCCTGGGATACATACCTATATAAATATATTGAAGATAGCAAAAAGCCAACATCCATCCACCAAGAGTGTTTACCGATAAAGCGTTGGAGAGCAGACCAGAAACAGACCGCACAAGATGCCCACATCCAACACGATTGTGCTGAAGAGCCTCTCCGTACTGCTCGGACTGTTTTTCATATTTGTCGGAACCCTGAAGCTGACGCCAGCCATCAGCAAGGATCTCTACAAGGATTTGGTAAGTGGAAAAAATCGATTCTGACTGTCGACAGGGGTTGGGTTGGGTTGGAGTTCCCTCCATAGGCCTACGCAGCATGTGCGCTGCGACTCATCGATTTTTCATTTGACAGCCTCTGGCCCTACTCCCAGGTCAAGCGATGCACTTTAAGAATGCTACCTATAAATACGTGTATGTCTGTCTAATGGGCATTGAACTCGACCCCAATCAATGCCAAACTTTGGCATTCAAAAATATTCGTAAACAGAAATTTCATGAAATCTGAAAATATATGATTTCATTATCCAAATAGCTTTGCGGTTGAGTGAAGATCTAAGCGTAACGGCTAATGAGAGAGATATTTGGCAGATTTCACTCATGGAGGCCGAATAATATTTTGAATTTTTTTTTGGAATTTAGAGGTTTGAGGAAATGCCAAATATCTGTGAATATTTTCAATAATAACAATACTCACCTTGCGTATATAAATCATAGACTTCTGAAAGATTTATGAAACAGCCGTTCCTTTTAACTTATTTGTTTACCTCCCCATAGCTTTAATATTCATTACTAAATTGTTCGCATGCCACAATGCAAACAATTCGTAGAATTACCCCAAAATCAATTTTAAGTATTCGAATCTGATTTTTATACATGTACTTATGTATATATGTATGTATATTATACAGTTGTTTTTATACGAAGGTTTTTGAATTGGTCTCGCGCCATTTTACTTTCATTTCTCATGTCTTTTATCATTTTGTTTGGTAGGGTATGTTAATTTAGAAATATTTTTGCCTCAAGAATCTCTGTGGCGATTCCCAAACGTGTAATTACCTTCGTATTACCACAAACACTTGGCTTTGGGGAGGGGAAACAACCGATACCGATGCCAACTAAAACACAATCATACATACTCGTACATATGTATGTATGTACTTACAAGCACACATGTTTCTATAAAAATTTGACAAAAAGAAAAGTTTGTTTTCATTTAAAAATAAACATGCTGCACTGCCTTCCGCTGGGCTGGTCGAAATATATGCCACTGTGGGGAGGGGATTCAATTCTAGGAATGATTAATTATATTCGTATGCTCATATTCGATTTCCCTGCCCTCCCAATTACAGCGCACAGAGTACGTTAAGTATGCGAAAGTATTTCCACTTACTGCCCTTTTTGGAGTGAAAATCCCCTCGAAATGGTATCGACGCACAATTGGCATTCTGGAGATCGTTTGCGGGCTGGCCATGGCGCTGATTCCCTATCGTAAGTGGAGCAAAGAATGCCACTAGAGAATACCTCATTAATATTTGTATTCTTTCCACAGATAAAGTCAAGAACGTGGCCAATGTGACGCTGCTGGTGCTGATGCTGCTGGGAATCTATCAGCACTGGATGGTCAGTGATCCGTTCGAGCGCTCTGGACCGGCGCTGGTATTCACCTTCATGCTGGGCGGTCGTCTGGTGGTCTGGTATCAGACAGCCCGCCTGCAGGATGAAATAGCGGCGGCCACCCAAGCACCAGCGAACGGCGTCAAGCAAGATTAGAGGCTGCCAGCGATTATAGCAATCATCGTATCATAGTCATTCACTGATTCATTGATCCAATCCACATTCATAGCCCGCACCTGTAAACAGCTTTGTTTTAGCACATTAAGTTGGATTCTAAACCGATTGGGCGCACAATCTTCGTGTTAGAAATTCATTCAAATCATTCTAGGGAAATCGAAATTCGTGTTCATGTTTCACTTTGGTGCCAAATAATTATCATATGCAGAAATATTATATATATATAATATAGAATTGAAATCGATATTAATTAATAACTATATGAGTAGAACTACACTATAAAGACAATGACAAAGACCACACCAGACCAGACGAGACGACTAGTTGCACATTCAAGCATAAATCAAATTGTATTCACGCACTCAATCTACAACTTCGTCTCAATATAGTCGAAATATAATTGAAATTACGACGCAAGTCATTGGCGGCGCCATCCTTTTAGAAACAATTTTAATAAATTTGAACAACTCATATTTAAAATTTAAACTTTAGCAACCGTCAGTCGTTTTAAATTTATTTGCAATTAGCAATTCGCAATATCAGTGGAGATTATTTATAGTTATTATTATACGGGTATTATACTGGTCAAGAGTGCGTGCTCTAAGCTATAACATCAGTGCATTTCATATACATATATATGCATACATAAATATGTGTGGCCTCTTACTCGGAGCCAGTGCTAAGCAGCTTCAATGCCTTCTGCAGGTTCTCAATGGCCGTATTCACGTCATCGTAGTTGAGGGCGCTGCCCGCGTATTTGCAATACTTCTGCGCTGTGATCATCTGATCTGGAGTGATGTGTACGCCAACAGCCGGCACGATGGGCTGGTAAATGGTGGCAGCGATGGCCGGATTTGGCTGCGCTGTGGGCACATATGGCTCAAAGCCACCCGGCTTTTCCTCATCGACCGGGGGACTGGGCAATTTGTTTGGATTATTAAGCACCTCCTCGGCAGTGGGAGGCGTTATATTTGTTGTTGGTGAAGACGGAGTTGGCGGCTGCACCGGTGCGGGCTGGGAGGCTGCGGCTTCATTTTCGGGTGGCGTGAATGCAGAGCTGCTGGCTCCGCCATTACCGCCACTACCGCCAGGGGATAGATTGTCCTCAGCAAACTCAGCTTCGTCGTCGTCATCGGGCAGAGGACCGGGTATGGGAGTCTCGCCATTCTTCAGACAGTTGTGTATGTAGGCGGCCTTCCATTTGGCGTACTTGCGGTTTTGCATAGCCTCCTCGCTCAGTTCCCCAAAGGTTTGCAGTATATCATAGAGCACGCCGCTGGAGTAGAAAGCCTTGACTACGTTTCTGAAAACGAAGAGCGTTATTATCTCAAACAGAGGCTAAATATGCAGGACCTGAAACTCACTTGCCAAAGTTCTCCTCGCGGTCCTGCTTATCGGCGTAAAGAAACAATTTCAGAGCATAGTTTTCGATGTGTGCCTGGGCGGGCACTTCGTGGGTCAAAGCCTCATTGTCGGCATGCTGCTTCTTCATGAGCTCCAACCAATCCATAATTGCTGCGGGCGGCAGGAAAACCCAAAACAAACACGGATGAGTCATAATTGCAATTTGCGTATTTGTTTTCGCTTACCCAGCAGAAGCTTTGTCTCCTCCCCGGTTTGGGTGGAGGCCTTTAAACCCACTTGCAGAGCACTGCGCATAGTATAATAAACAATTAATATTCCTTTTGTTAAACAAAAACTTTAAGGTACTCACTAAAGTCTTGCCCAGTAGGCGATCACAACGTCGCGACTGTCGTGCTCCTGGGCCAGCTTCAAAAAATGCTGGATGGACTTCAGCGAAGGAGGACATGGTGGAAACTCCATCGCAATTTTATCACACGATTAAACAAAGAATCTTGCAAGTTTAAGGCTGTAGTTAGTTAGTTTGTAGTTGCGGCGTAGCTGAAGAAAAAAATGAACTTAACCCACTTAACCCCCTACATTTAAACAGGTGAACCGCTGATATGAATACTTCTTGTTAATTCTTCTTGTGATACATTCTATCCTTCCTCGTTACTTCAAAAAATAATTACCACGATATTCTTCACCTTTACTGCGCCAATATTATTCAAGTTTCATAAATTTCGTGCCTAAATCGAAATACCTACTGGTCGACAATGGGTTAATCGTCCTCTTTTCATGATAGGATATCATATTACTCGATTTGAGTTTTCGGTTCAATACCCTCGACACTTAACATATAATTTAAACATCAATTTTTATTGGATTGCCTTTTTAATCGCCATGAAAAAAGATAAAATCTCCTAGAACTTTTCTTATCGATAGATGGCAACACTGCGACAGTTTTATAAGAATAATTAATAAAAATAATACAAAAATAACAAATCCACAGGTGCTTATCGTGAACTTCGCAGTCGATTAGCTACGCTCCACCAGTTTGGTCTTCTTGGGTAATTGGGGTTCTAAACCGGTTAATATGCGTTATCAGTTCTGCGAGTTGCACTTTGCACTTTAGCCCGCGGAAAGCTGCATTATATATTTAACTCCATTCTGAATTCCAGGCATAGCCGCAGCAGAACACCAAGATGTCCCTCTCGAAGCCACTTTATTCGCTCTTTGGCACTTATCTGGAGCAACTTTTCAATCATCCGGTTCGCACGAAGTCCATAACAGCGTGAGTACATAACTTTAAACCACAAACCACTTGGCATCTAACGGGGTCGACATGTTTCAGGTGCATTTTGGCTACCTCGGCCAATGTGACATCGCAGCGTCTGGCCGGGGCACAGAGATTGAACCAGAACAGCGTCTTTGCCTATGGACTGTTTGGTCTGCTCTTCGGTGGAAGTGTTCCCCACTACTTCTACCAGACCGTGGAGCGTCTCTTCAGCCATGATTTGCGCTTCAGGAAATTCTATTTGTTCTTGTCTGAACGACTAGTCTATGCCCCCATCTACCAGGCGCTTTCCCTCTACTTCCTGTCACTGTTCGAGGTGAGTAGTCTTCATTCATTAAGGCGCCCTTCTTTATAACACCTGATATTTTTCAGGGCAACTCCCACGGCACGGCTCTTAAGAATGTCGAGAAATTGTATTTGCCCCTGCTGAAGGCCAACTGGCAGTACTTGTCCTTGTTTGTGTATCTGAACTTTGCCTATGTGCCGCCCATGTTCCGTTCCATTAGCACGGCCATAATATCCTTCATTTGGGTAGTTTATATTGCCAAGAAGCGTCGACGTTTCGCGGATAAGCAGGCTGCTGACAAGTCCAAATAAACATTCCATTGCGGACACCAAGACTTTCCAACTATATTAATGTTGCTTTAGCTTAATATTCAGATTACCAACTAGATTTCAAAGGCATTACCATTATCTTTGTTGCGTTTAAACGCAGATTGCGAAAACTATTGCGAGTCCGATACGTTTCTGAGATTCGTGTGTGGGCTTGAGATAAGCACAACAACAGGAACAACAGACAGCCTTATCGTCTGGTTGTATTGTAAAACCCTTTATTTTTTTTTCTTTTACGTGCCCAAAATAAACGTATTCATTCGAGATGGCAACAAATAATATATTTATTTTAAAACTCAGCTTAAAATTAGCAAATAATTTGAGTAGAGGCTTACAAACGAGTATTATTGGCATAATATCGTGGCTACAATATAATTTCACTAGTAAATTCCGGGCACATTGACAGCGAAATTAAATATCTAACTAAGTGTCGGGGGAATATGCGTGTAAAACAAATGTCCTTTGGCATAACAACTATCTTAACCTAGGGGGGAGGGGAGGGGTTTCAGGAGTATGGTGCATATGGCGACTATAAGTCTGACTAGTGCGACTGACTAGGAGTTCCTTCGCTCACGATTCGCCGCACATTTTGCGCAGCGAATCGGTTAACACTCAAAAGGCTGCCATCGAGGGGCTCCGACTGTTGCGTAGCGGAGTGCAAATGGGCGTGGTCGGTGTGCTGGCCCGACTGAAGCAGCTCGAACAGCAGCTGGAGGCCTCCTCCGCCTCAGCAGCAGCAGCCGCAGCACCCTCCGTGCCTCCGGCTGCCTTGTGGTGGTAGGGAATGGGCCGCTTGCGAGCACTGTGAATATAGATAAGGATATATTAAAGCAAGGATTTCATCAACTGAGTTTAGGGGACTACTCTGCTGATAACTCACCAAACTGAAAATTGTAATCAACTCAATAAAAAATTCGCTAAAAATAAATGATAGAAATGAAATCCTAAGAAACAATAAGATGTAAGCAAGAGATGACATATATTTTATTGGCGTTAGTTCCATAAAATTGACTGGATCTGGCGCTCAATACGGGAAATAATCAGATAAAGTAAATTTTACAAGCATACACAAATATATATTGCATTGAAAGGAAGAAATTAATTTGAAAATCAGATTATAAGTAGTTCCTGAGTCAGCTGGAAAAAAGAATAATCAAGTTCAATTAAATAAAATCAGGTGCCGTGAATAAACAAATTGGGAAATCAATGCAACACAAAGGTTCAATGGCAACCAACTAGCGTCTGGTGCTGGGCGGCGGCCGACGGCTACGGAAAATTAAGTAAATCAATTAAAATAATATATTAATATAAAAAATATTAAAAAAACAAAAATTCAAAAGGAATTCTATAACAAATTTCGTGTAATCTTCCGCTTAACTACCTTGTAATGCGACGTCTGTCTAGAAAGCTGGGTGAGCCCCGACGCCTTGGTATGGAGGGGGAACGTGAGCCGGATTGTGATGTGCCTGAGCCACTGCTGGAGGAGCTACCCGAACTGCTCTGTGACGAGCAGCTGGAACGAGATGATTGCGAGCCAGAGCGGGACCTAGAACTGCGCGAGCCACTAGCACTGCTGCTGGAGCTAGAGCGTCTGTGGGGAGAAAGGAACAGTGTGAATTCATTGAGTGTCAGTCACAACGCAAACGAGTGGGGGGACACTTACGATCTTGAGCGACTGCTGGAGTGATGATGATGATGGCTGCCACTCGTGCGTCGCTTGCTGCGACTGTGGCTACTGCGGCGTGAGCGACTCCGACTGCGACGCGCTGCACTCTCCGCTGCGGCCACCGTGGCGGTGGACACCTTGGAGACGATGGCGTCCACGAGACTGCTGTCGGCGAGTGCCGCAACTAAGGGCTGTGGATCCAGAAGTTTGAATGGTTTTATTACAATTTTCGGTTTCTGTTGCTGGTGATGATGATGATAGCTTATACTATTGGCTGCCACGGCCGCAGCCGCTGCAGCCGCGCTGAAACTAATGCTACCGGGCATCGCATGCTGGGGATGACTAAGCAAGGCCAGGCCCGCAGCAGCCTGCTGCTGCCCAAGGCCAAAGAGACTAGGGTTATAGACAAGACCATGCGCCAGATGCTGCTGCTGGTGGTCGCGGCGACCGAGCAGAGCCTGCTGTTGCATGCTGTTCTGATGGTTCTTGCATATGTTGTAATGGGTGGCCGTCAGCAGCGGACCGTGATTGAGGCGGTTCGTTGTGCGGTTGTAGGTGCCCGGCGTGCCGGCCAGGAACGGCAGCATGCCGGGATTGCTATTGGAATGAGGGACACCACCACCACATGCATGAATGTTGTTGCTATTGTTGTTGTTGTTGTTGTTGTTAGTATTATGTCTACTGTTTGGGTTATTGTTCAGCGTTCGATTGTGAAAGATTCGCTTCGTCTGGTGCGGATGCGAATGCTGCTGTTGGTGTGGATGCTGGTGTTGATGCGACTGCTGATGGTGTTGGTGGTGCTGCTGCTGCGGCTGCTGTGGAGGCCTTTGATGGATTTTGGTTATCAAGTTCGTTGCTGGTGGACTCTTGGCGTCGCCATTGGCAGCCACTTGGGGCGCTTTGCAAATGGGCGGCGTCGTGGTGGCGTCTCTTTTTTGATTTGGCTCCTCCACAGACTGATGCTGCTGCGGCTTTTGCTCCTGTATCTGCGAATATGGCTGTGCCTGTGGTAGGATCACAGCCATGGGTGGCGGGGGCGTTGTCGTAGTCGTTGTCAATGGGTTAATCAAAGCGGTTACATTGTTAGCAACAAGAAATTCACTTAGCGAATTACGTTTAGTAGCCGTCACCAGTTCGTTGCCACTTACATCACTGCCCTCCTTGGCAGAGTCCTTGCTCGCGTCCCCGTTCTTCTCCATGGTCTTGATCTTCTGCTTGGCCTTGGCGGCGATGCCCGACTTGAGCTGCTCCAGCATGCGCAGCTCCTGCAGTTCCTCGCGCTCCTGCTTGCTCTGCTGGAATTCGTCCAGTGCTGCCGCATCCACATTGGAGCCACTCGCATCGGCATCGCTGCCGTCATCGCTCTGGGCCCTCAGGCGCACCACGGGCGCGGGCTTCGTTGTGGAAAGGTCGCGAGCCTTCGATGGCCGCTTCTTGTCTTGTATGATGTCCTGGTAGCGCTCTGGATGTCGTTCCGCTGGTGAGTAGCGCAGCTCCGAAGAGCTTGAGCTGCGTGAGCGTCGCTTTGGTGGCTTCGGACTGGGTGTGGTTGCCTTACTCTTTGGCTTGGGCTTCTGTGGAGTGCGGGACCGTTCGCGCTTCACGCTGCTCTGGCGAGGGGTACGACGATCTCGCTTGGGGCTCCTCTCCTTCTTGATCGGATCTGGTGTTTTGCTGCGTCGTCGCAGTTTGCCTGGCTTGGGCTTGGGCGAAGGCGTCCCGGAAGCCGACGAGCTGCTACTGGAGCTACCCGAGGTCGAGCTAGAGCTGGAGACTGCGCGCTGGCGCTTGGTCTTCTCAAGTTCCACAATCACTGACTTGGTGCCCAGTATATCGTTTACAGTGTCTTCTGCAGCCTTGAAGGGATTGAATGCCGGTGGCGCTGTCTTCTTGGGTGGCACCTCTGGGGAATGACTGCGTCGGCTGTTACCAACAACTGGGTCCGGCAACTGCTGCTTGCGGGAACGGGAAAGTGACCTAGAACTCCGAGTCGGCTTGCGGGTATCCGATGGATTTTTGGCCGAGCTCGATCGCTGGCGCCGATCACGATCATCTCGTCTATGGGTGCGCTCCTTGGAGATGGCTAGGATTGGTACTGCCTGTCGATCCTTCGATCTTTGACGCTCTTTTGATCGCTGTCGCTCCTTGGAGCGCTTTTTCTCATTCGATTGCTGAACTCGATCCTTGGAAAGTCGTCGCTCTTTCGAGCGCTGCCTCTCCTTTGATCTTGGCCGACTTTTGGACATATCTCGCTCGTTGGATGGTGCCTTATCCACCGATCGCTTCCTCTCCTTTGATCGCTGGCGGTCCTTTGATCTGTCTCGCTTGGATTCTACTGCCAGGGGTTTATCCTTGGATCGCGCTCTATCCTTGGATCGCAGTCTCTCTTTGGACTGAATTCGCGCCTTTGATCGCTGCCTCTCCTTTGACCTTTGTCTCTCTTTTGACCTCTGCCTATCCTTAGATACTTGACTATCTTTTTGCCTCTCTTTAGAGCGTGGCCTTTCCTTTGAACGCTGTCTTTCTTTGGAGCGGAGCCTCTCCTTCGATCTCTGTCGCTCTTTCGACCTCTGTCTCTCCTTCGATCGCTGTCGTTCCTTCGACCTCTGTCTCTCCTTTGATCGCTGTCGTTCCTTCGACCTCTGTCTCTCCTTTGATTTTGGTCTCTCTTTCGATCGAAGTCTCTCCTTTGATCGCAGTCTCTCCTTTGATCGAAGTCTCTCCTTTGATCGAAGTCTCTCCTTTGATCGAAGTTTTTCCTTAGAACGCTCGCGTTTCCTTTCCGGCTCTTTGCGAGGCGAGGTCCGCGTGGCTGGCGCTCGCTCATTCGACTTGGGCCGGCGGCTGCGACTATCGCTGCGCTCGTGCTTGTCCCTTCGAACATCGCCGCCTGATGATTCGTTGGGCCGCTTTAATTCCCTGCGGCGCTCGCGGGACCGGCTACGGAAGGGATTCTCCCGCGATGTGCCATTGTCTTCAGCTGTGGTAGCTGTTGGCCCACGGGTTTTGCCCGACTTTTTGCCTTTGCGCTCATTACGCGACGGAGAGCTGTCAAATGAAATGTTTAAATTAGTTTAAGGTCAAATGTTGGCATATTGTTAACTTACTTGGGGCGCTCCGAGTCTGAGGAGCTGGCACGGGCGCGTGACTTCTTTTTCAGCTTCTTGTCGCGCTTTTTCTGTATAATAGAAAAGTGAAGATCGTTAATAATCGCTCGCTTGGTATGGGATCTTGCCAAGAGTCTAACTGTTAGCAATATGTATATATTTAACAGATCGAACGATCATTCATTATGGCGCATGATAGACATATGAAGTTTCGGTTTTGGGTGCAAAACATTTTCGCTCTTTTTTTTCTTGGATTTGTACAAAAAGTATTCTTGTTCATCTATCATTTATCACTTCACACTAGGTATCATATGATTGTTGGAGTATTAGTAAGTATCTTAAGGAAAACAGTCAAATGAAAGTACTTACAAAACTACAAGAGAGCCATTGAAAGCTATCCTATATCAATGAAGCGCCAAGGGTTTTCATAAACAAAATATAAATTTTCTTTTTCGTTTCTTCAAAATTTACTTAAACTAATTGGATTTAAATTTTTGGTAAACACAAAGAAACACAAGCTACGAATCAAAATGAAATAAAACAAAAAGAGAGGCCATCCATACATAGTCTGGAAATTTGAATGTAAAATATTAGATCAGCGCTGGGCACGCTTTTTGAATTTTGTTTTTGCATATTCGATCATATTTTTGTTTAAATATTAAAGAATAAATCTTGTGCGCGCCCACCACTGGATAAGATCGGTATGTGGTATGTATAGCCCCACTTAATCAATTTTCGTTTAGGCAAAAAGAGGAAACAAAATGAAATTAAGGTAATCCATTGATAAAATAAAAAAAAAATGTTATACTAGATTGTGAATGCGTTTGAAGCCTTTTACCTTTCGACAATATTTTGGGTGATATTTTTTTGATTTGTATTTTTGTTTGTTTGATTACTAATTAAATTGTATGCTTTAGTATTGATAGGATATACAACGTTAGCGTTACAACGTTTTGCTTGCAGGTTTTATATAGTTCAGTAAGCACTGAGTGGTTATTTTTTGTCAATCGTTATTATTGAATGTTTCATTTTGGTGGAAAAAGAAGTAAATAAGCAAGAGAAGAAATGGCGCATGTTTAATATTTTGGTGAACAATTGAAACAACGAAACGAAAAGTCAAACGAGAGTTATCATCATATACAGGTAATAAATATTTTAATAAATATATTTTATAGAGAGAGAGAAAGGCCAGTACTTCCATTTGGATTAGATTATTTTTGTTTTTTTTTTTTTGTGGTCAGACGTAGTTAATGATTGCTTGATTAGTTAGGTGTAAATATATGTTACATCATTAATGGATTTGGATTGGATTTTGTATGGAGAAATAGTTGGAGAAACAGCGTTAGAGGTAAGAGTTCATTAGAAGTGTTTCATGAGATAGACAGGTAGTATATTAATGTATGGGATATATCGTATACGACACATGCACACTCCCCACAGTTCCACAGCTCTCATCGCTCTCCGCTAGTACTTTCTGATATTATTGTGTATCCTCAGACGGAGCTCATGCATACCTTGTCCTTCTTGGCTTTCTTGCGTGCGCTCTTTAGCTCACGATCACGATCGCGATCGCGCTCCTCATCGCTGCTGCCCGCCGCCTCCTCGTCGCTGTCCTTGTCGCTATCCTTGTCGCTGTCACTGGCGCTGTGCTTGCGCTTGCGGGATTTCTTCTTTTTGGACTTACTGCAAGTAGAATCGTAGTGGGGACAGGGGATTAGTAGATATCCGGCATTGATGGTGGGAGTTTGTGTGTGATTATCTTTGTGCTGGCTACAACACACATTCATTTGGACGAGGCGTTATGGGGGGAACCGTGTGCACACTGCACATCACAGCTCCAAGAAACTGGTTTTTGGCAGCAAATGTTAAGAAATAGGTTTTACTTGTGGTTTAGTGCTTTACCTTCATCGAAAACTGCTCAAATTGCATTGTCTTAACATTAAAGAAGGTAATCATAATAATAGAAAGAAAGATGAGAAAGTAATTGGCTTTTAATTGTTGCGACACACAAAAATATTTCTTTGCATTCCTTAACAGAGAGACAGAGAGAGAGACCTCTTAAACTTTTTATGGTTTCAGTATCATATCGTATCATATTTGTAATTGTATTCTAGTATTCTAGTTTTCTTAGTTTTTGGTTTGTCTGTTTGCAATGCAGAGGTACTTCTTTTGGCAACTAAAGTTTGTTAAGAATTGTAGAATCGAATTATTACTTACCGCCGGGCAGAGTGTTTTATTTATTTTTTGTTTTTTTTTTGGGGAAAATGTGAATGATGCAAAGATTGTGTGGGATTGGAGATTGGAGATTAGTATGGATTGGATGGCATGGTTTTGTGTATTAGAGTGGGAATCGTGTGGTTAGCTATTAGTCGACCGACCCATCATACATACATATCAATAGTAAATCAGATATCCCTGATAAATCTACTCACTCCCCGCTGCACACAGATTCAAATAAAAGATTGTCTTGGCAAATGTTAGGATATCGAAAGTAGTATATATTGCAGAGAGGCGCATTTGAAACACATTTCATATTCATTTTAATTTCACTTCATTGGATTGGATTGGATTGGATTGTTTAATTTAATTGGTTCTTATGGTGTGTGTGTGTGTGTGTGTTTGTGTTTCGTGTGTGTATGTGAATGTGTAGGTTCTCGTTTATAACTAAAGTGTGTATTTCATTTGTACATAACTTTTCGCTTCTTTTTACTTTCTTTCTCATATGAGTCCCTTTTGTGGTTTCAAATGCAATGTAAAAGAAGGAGTAGAGACGAAAAACACAAAATGTATTAAGCAATTTGATAGTTTGATAGTTACAAAAGATTTTCTTTGGTTTTGGGTTTGTTTTTTTGTTTTTGTCACGATCTAGGCACAAATTGTTTACAGTTTACTATGGACTATGTACGATAAGGATTAAAGGATAAACCGAAAAAGTTCATGACTGTAGAGTCCAACCAAGGAGCAACGAAAGAAACGACAAAACTAACACAGAGAGCTACAACTGTTTGAAGGCCGCAGGATCTGCAAAAACTGGGCTTCAGTCCTATTGCTTACCTCTCTTTCTTGTGCTTCTTTGACTTCTTCTTTTTGTCCTTTTTGCGCTCAGGACTAGCAGAGCTAACGAACAGAAGAGAAAAATGGAGATGGGACGCCATTTAGTATCAACTTTTGTTGGATTATGGATATCCATTGCGCTTACCTCTCTCTGGCGCGCTTCTTGCGCTTCTTCTTGTCTGACTTTGAGACATGCTCGCGCTCGCGCTCATCGCCACTGGCGGCGGCATCATGACCCTCTCCATCCCGATCTCTCTCTCGGGATGGGGTACGGACCAGAGCATATCGCTTGCCCGTCTCCTTGTCCTTGCCTGCAGCAGCTGCCGCAGCCGCCGCCGCCGCTGCCAGGCTTTCGCGCTGGGCGTCCAGTTCCTTTTGGAGAGCCACGCTTTTGGCCAGATCCTCCTTTGCCTTGCGATCGTTGTCGAAGCTACTGCCCTCCACAAAGTAGCTGGATATGTTGAAGGCCTCGCGCAGCCTGGCGTTCTTTTGCTGCTGTGCCTCGGCTATCTGATGGGTGTCGCGAGCACTGCAAGGGGATACAACAAGGGAATGCGTTAGTAAAAGTAACGAAACAATTATCAAGGCTTAAATCGTGGGGTTTTAAAGTTGAAGTTAAAGTTTCAGTGCCAAAGGGGTGCTACCTCGATGTCACAGCACTGCCAGCACCGAGCAGTGTCTCCAGCAACGTGTTCGAGGAGTGCTTCAGCAACTCGAGCAGTATCTGGCCATCGATATTGATTTTTGATGCGTTTGCGTTGGCGTTTACGTTTCCCCACTGTGACGTGGACAGTGGCAAGTCCTGCGTCCTATGCGTGGCAACAGCTGCGCGCTGGCTGGGCTCCGCGGCCGGCTCCGTTACTGCGGATTGGCAGGCGCAGGCGCAGTCAGGGTTCACCTTTCTGGGCATTCCTGGTCGCCTGGTTTTCTTGGCGCCGCTTGCCAACGCCGGCCGCAAGGGCTTGAACTTCTTTGCCACCGCCGCATAGTTCAGCGCAGCTGCTCCCGATGCCATGTGGTGGGCCGTGAGGTGAAAGCTCTCGTACTTGGCCAAGTACTCCCGATTATCGTGCTGGAAGTATTGGGCCTTGCACTTCCTGCCACCGTTGACTGTCGGTAGGGAAACGCTTCCTGCTTGGGGGTGTGTATGGGTATGGGTATGGGGACAGCTAGGGTGGCTGGCTGTGGCGGCTGCGACTGTCTTGGTGGTGGTGGTGGTGGCGGCGGCACCAATTGCGTGACCTGCGCGTTTGCGACGCTTGCGGCGTTTTTTCGCTTTCACCACTTGCAACGTGGTGGCTGTTGTTGTTGTTGTGGTTGCCACTGAGGCAGCAGCAGCAGTAGCAGCAGAACTTATCCCCACTGCTGCCATAGCCGTGGAGGTGGTCGTATTGGTGTAGATTTCCGAGGAGAGCATTTTGGGTTTTGTTTCTTCTCGCTTAGTTTTTATTATTTTTTATATATTTTATTTATATTTAAACTTTTTTTAATGTTTATAAAATTTAAAAAATTAACTCTTTTATAGTTGTTTGTTGTATATGATCCCTTACGATTATAGTAATATTAAATTCCACGTTTAATTACGGAAGACAGTGGATTTTACCCGAATGTTAATTCGTTTATATTCGCGTTTAGTTTATTTAATATTTATATATATGTTTTCTTTGTATAAATATTATATTTTTAATATTATATTAGATCCATGTACTTGGAAGACAGTGGACTGACTCTTTAAACTCCTTGTATAGGTACAAAAAAATATATATGTATTTTCATCGGTTATTGGAAGACGATGGATTAGCATTTGTTTGGGTTCACATTCGTTTGGTTTGGCTACATTATGCGCAGCATTATCCGAATGCAATTTCAATCAATTTTTTGTATGTTCCTTATCGTTATGGAAGACGTTGGATTATGTTTAGGAGACATTGGATTGATTAGCTTTAATATTATAAAATGATCTGCATTCGAGTTGTATGCCTTGATTTACTCCGTTTACCGCGTACTTTTAACTCTATGCGCACTTCTTGACTCCACTTGACGACTTAGACGACTAATTAATTACTTGCTAGGTTTGGAAGACTTATTTAGTGATTTGTTGCATTCGTTTAGTTTGGCATCAGTGTGGCCTTTGGCTCTGCTCTGCTGCTATCGCCGCTGCCTTAACACCATATTGTAATGGGACTCCACCTAACACTTGCAACAACCACTAGAATAGTACACACACAACGACATCCGACGACTTGAGCCCTTAATCCGCGGCTGGGCCTGAACAGTGGGTTGCAATGCTGCTTTAGGGGTGGAAGACGAAGACGACACCACCACCAGCACCGCCACTACCAGCTGGCTGCCTTTTAGTTGCTGCATTTTGTTCTCCTTTTTGTCTGTTCTTTTCGTTGCACACTTGAAGGGCTGCCTCAGGGCAGAGGAGCGGGTTCCCTAGTTGGGTGTCTCTATTTTATATTTTGGTTTTGCTTTGCACCGCTTATGCGGCGGCTTATGGCTGCATCTCTAGCCAGGCGGCGGCTTGTGGGTGGCTGCTTATTTTTATTGATTTTTCCAGAGCCTGCCGTTAAAGTTTCTGTATCTTTTCGGACAATCTGTGGCAGCCTCTCTGCAGCATTGCCATTGCATGTGTCTCCTTGTCCTTGTGTCCATGCCCAAGGACACTTGGCTGCTTGTGTTTATATTTATTAATTCAATAATATTTATGTATTTTATATGGTTTAATTTAATTATTCCTGAGCGGTGCAGCCATGTTGCTTTGGCTTTGGAAGACTTGAAGTGACTGAAAACGGGAGCGCGCATCCCCAAAAATCTTTGCAGCAGCCTTTTCTCTACACCACTCCTCGACGTCTATTGGCCAGCATGGACCAGTCGCAGGAGGGCTGATGTGGTGGGCGGCCACATGCTGTGCGCACCACCCAGCGGCGCAATGACGGGGCGCACGTTGCCTGGCTGGGAGGGGGGTTGCGGGGTCTACAGCTGTCGCTGGCCGAGATTGTGGCAAAGGTTTTGTTTAACCGTTTATTGATTTGTCAACTAGGCCCACTTTTTGTTTAAATTACATAAGCCTGAATGGATATACTACTCACGCTACGCGTCCAAATTCATCCTTTGGTGCATCTGTCTTGCCTTGGCCCACCAACTTCTGGCGGAACGAGTCCACTTGCGTCTTGATGTCCTCCGGTGTGCGTCTGTTTGGATCATAAAGCAATACGTTATTATTCTGAAATTTTCACGTGCTTAAATTCTCTCAAAATAAAAATACCTTGGAGACTGATTTACACGCAGATTGATCGAAGTGTTTGATGAATTCTTAACTTAATAAGGCTTTTGGCTATTGTTTCATTAATATTAACTATTGAACTACATTTAAAATTAAAATTTAATGGAAATTCTCAGATTGTTCGAAACGTTTGTCCGTGTGGCACGCGACACGCGGATGTCTTCTATTGAAATAATCTCTACAACTGAAATGCACTTTTTTTTCACCACCAGGGCAGGCCAGTGCCAGGCCCATGCCTTGGATGGGGTGTCGGGCCGGACACCGGAAGAGGGTCGCAGTGCTCATATGTGACGCATGGTAGGGGTTGGTGGTTGCGCGAGTGCGTATGCGCACTCGTGGCGGGAAAAACGAGACGTCGACGCTGCTACCAGGCGCAATCCGTAAACAGAGAAAGCAGCGAGCAAACATAAACAGAAGCAGTAGCACCACCAGCGGCGCTTGGTTGGTCGCTTGCAGCGCTGCATATGCGTTGGGGCCACTGGCCTTATGTAACTAGGGATTGCACTTACATACCCCTTACATGAAGTATGGATCAGATCATAATCATCTTACCCCTGCTTTTCGAGTATCTCCTCGAACTCCAAGCACTTGACTTCGATCTTGCGCTTGCGGTCATGGTCAAGAATCTCCTTGTTGGGCGGACGATTCAGCTGGGCGTCCAACTTTTTGATGTCATCTTCGCAGCGATAGTCCTTGTCCTTTTTGCCCGGCCGGACGAATGCACAATTTCGCTGCACGTGTCCGTTGGTGCCGGAGCCGCGGGCGGTTGTCAAGCCAATGCCGTTGTACATGATGCCTCCGTGTAGCTGCCTATCAATGGACCAATGTCCTCGCGCGGGTACCTAGTGCTCCGCCAATACTGCAGTTTGCAAACAGGCAAAATCGATTTTAGTGGCAATGTTGGCAAAAATATCTATGCAAACAGTTTATTGGGACATCTACACACCTCTCTTTTGTCCACTGCAACGCATCGACAATCCTCTCTGGCTTTACTACTTTTTTGCGGCACAAAAATTAAAAACAAAAAATTTGCGAAATTCCTTTGCCCTAGAGGTGTCAAGCCATCGATGGCACTATCGATAGTATCGATATTTTACTGCCAGCCTCTACTATCGACGGTTTTCCGACTATCATGATAGTATCGAGCTACAGTCGGTGCGCTTTTGATATGTTTGGATTGGCTGCTAAAAAATACGAAGACACATTTGTAAACAAATCGACAGGTGGCATCTAATTTTTACAAGTTTACAAGTTGGACAAGTTCCTCAAAGGTTTTAATGGTTTTTTAATAATTTTTTGAGCCCGATACTATCACGATGGTATCGATGTTTTTTCTTCAAAACATTCAACGTCCTCGAATTTGATATTCCGTTTAATATTACTAGCTAGTTGGCCATCTCAGCCCTAAACAAATAATTTTATCCGATAGATACATAAATTTTGTTCAGGATCGGCTAGTTTTCAGAACTCTTTTTCATTGGATTGTTTACATAATAAGGTTCAAACAAAAACGGCCAAAGCATAAAACGTAAGTGTTGCCTAAATGTTTCGTCAGTGTTGCTGGTCAACCAAGTTTCTTCTATGCGTATGGACCTTTGTATACCTTATTTCCTTTAATTGATGTTAAATTTGTTGTTCCAAGCTCCATTGAAACATTAATAATGATTTTATCCTAGATTGACATGTTTTTTACATGTTCACATGTTACATGCGGCTCACACCACGAAAATGAATGGTAAGTCACCACGGGAGCGCTCTCTTCCGTCAGATTTTGTCAGCGAGCATTTAAAAGTTTCATATCAGTCAGCTTTTGTCAGCTAGCATTTAAAAGTTTCATATCAGTAAGCTTTTGTCAGAAAGCATTTAAAAGTTTAATATCAATCAGCTTTTGTCAGCGAGCATTTCAAAGTTTCATATCAGTCAGCTTTTGTCAGCGAGCAGTTGAGTGTTTCATATCAGTCAGCTTTTGTCAGCGAGCATTAAAAAGTTTCATATCAGTCAGCTTTTGTCAGCGAGCATTTAAAAGTTTCATATCAGTAAGCTTTTGTCAGAAAGCATATAAAAGTTTCATATCAATCAGCTTTTGTCAGCGAGCATTTCAAAGTTTCTTATCAGTCAGCTTTTGTCAGCGAGCAATTAAAAAGTTTCTTATCAGTCAGCTTTTGTCAGCGAGCATTTAAAAGTTTCATATCAGTCAGCTTTTGTCAGCGAGCAGTTGAGAGTTTCATATCAGTCAGCTTTTGTCAGCGAGCAGTTGAGTGTTTCATATCAGTCAGCTTTTGTCAGCGAGCATTTAAAAGTTTCTTATCAGTCAGCATTTGTCAGAGAGCATTAAAAAGTTTCATATCAGTCAGCTTTTGTCAGCGAGCATTGAAAGTTTCATATCAGTCTCCTTTTGTCAGCGAGCATTTAGAAGTTTCATATCAGTCAGCTTTTGTCAGCGAGCAATTAAAAAGTTTCTTATCAGTCAGCTTTTGTCAGCGAGCATTTAAAAGTTTCATATCAGTCAGCTTTTGTCAGCGAGCAGTTGAGAGTTTCATATCAGTCAGCTTTTGTCAGCGAGCATTTAAAAGTTTCATATCAGTCAGCTTTTGTCAGTGAGCATTGAACAATAAAAACATTTTTTGGTTTTTTTTTTATATTTATTACATTTTTACATTTGTTTATACATATTTTCCTAAATTTTTACATTTTTCCTAAATTATAACATATTTTTTGCCTGCCCCCTGAATAGATTGCGCAGTGGCGCCATATTTGAAATTCCTGCTGCGCCTGTTCTCAAAGGAACTTTTTGAACTAGTTCGAGCGACGAGAAACGCTCTGCAGAGTGACCGTAAAATATCGATACTATCGATAGTGCCCTCGATGGTTTGACACCTCTATAAAAAACCAAATACAAATAAAATGAGCGATGCTGAAGATAAAACCAAGAGTGAGGACTCGACGGCAAAGGTAGTTTTCAAGAAGTCCTCGCGCAAGAATCTGCGACAACGCAAGAACTCCGATGACGGGGAAAAGGAGGAACAGTAAGTAAAATCGGCACAAATGAACTCGGTTACAATGTTAATTCCTGCGCAGGCTAACGCTGGACGAGATTAAGGAGCGCCAACGTCTGCGCCAGCGTCCAAATGGGGTCAGCTTAGTGGGTCTGGCGCTCGGCAAGAAAATCGCTCCGGAGGAGGAGTTGGCCATTAAAGATCCCTTCAATGTGAAAACTGGTGGCCTGGTCAACATGGCAACACTTAAGTCTGGCAAGATGAAGGAAGCCGAGGATCCCTATGATGTGGGCATTGGCACACAGTTCTCCGCTGAGACGAACAAGCGCGATGAAGATGAGGAGATGATGAAATACATCGAGCTAGAGCTGCAGAAGCGCAAGGGCGGCGGCACAGATGCCGCAGACAATGACGACGACGTGAATAAATACCTAACACCCGAGGACGCGGCACTGTATGCCCTGCCTGACCACTTGCGGCAATCGTCCACGCACAGATCTGAGGAGATGTTGTCCAATCAAATGCTAAACGGTATTCCCGAGGTAGACCTGGGCATTCAGGCCAAGATCTGCAACATTGAGGCCACGGAGGATGCCAAACAGAAGCTGCTGCAGGATGCCAAGAACAAGAAGGACGGGCCATCGCAGTTTGTGCCCACGAACATGGCTGTCAACTTTATGCAACACAATCGCTGTAAGTACGACCCTTTTGGGATTGATCCCCACATATTTATGTATATATCTGGCAGTCAACATCGAGGAGAACAGCGAACAGCGTAGGCGCAAACGGGAGGAAAGGGAGGGCAAAAAACCATCCCAGAATCACACAGGTCCCAATGGTGTGAAGCGTGCGACCGACGACTATCATTATGACAAATTTAGGAAACAATTCCGCAGATATTAAAGGAACAATTTTTATTTTAAGAAATGCTCTTTTTTATTGTCAAGTTAATTTACATACTAAGTATAGTTATATAGAAATATAAGCTGTGCGTGTTCAACCACCTGGAAAAAACAAAAACAGCATTGATTAGTCATCAGATTACTCGCACGCTCTTCAAAATAGTTCACAAAATTGTATCAGTAAGAGATAAACTTATTTCAAGGCAACGAATGACTGAAGCTCAATGAGATTCCTACTCGAAAAATCATCACAAGATACGAAATTATGGGATATATTCATCTTTACACACCTTTTGGGAGATAGTCCAAGGAACAGCATTTGTGGGGAAAACTGTAATATATGAAGAATATTTTGATCAGAAGGGGAATTACAAGTCAGTTTCGTATTACAAATGAGAGAATCAGTAAGAGATTAAGTTAATTTCATAGCAACGAATGACTGAAGCTCAGTGAGATTCCTACTCAAAAAATCATCACAAGATACAATTTTATAGGATAATAAATTCAACACACCTTATCGTAACATCAGATCAGACAGCAGGTAACAACAAGTAACCATTTTGGGAGAGCTAAATAAGATAGAAAATACTTTGATTAGATGGGGACCATCATTAAAATCAATTTGGTATTACTATTGGTGTAATCAGAAAGTTAAATTGATTTCATAGCAACGAATGACTGAAGCTCAGTGAGATTCCTACGAAAAATCATCAGAAAGGATGTACAAATTTATTGCTAAATCTATAATTACCTTTTTTTACGGGTGGTTCATCATATTCGATCACTGCCGAAGGATCTGTAAAGTAGATTGTTAATAATGGGTATAATAATTAGGTTTGGGAAACTCACCTTTGTTGATGTGGTTCTAGGCTGATATCTGAAAATAGTCTCTGAAAAAGATGAAGGAAACCCACCCAAAATCAAGCAAGTTAATGGTTTCTTTTTGAGTGGTTTTTATTATACCCAGTCGACAACTTAGAAACGTTCATCCTCGCTCTGTCAGCTTAGTTATTATGTTGTTTATAGAAAAAATTCTATGTAGAAATGTAGAACGCGATGCACGTTCCCCCACACTTTGCTTGTTTATATGATGCCGATCTTGTTGGCAATATCCAGAGCATCGTAGTCGCGCGCCAGGCGCACATAAGCCTTCTTCTGACCATCGGGCCTGATCAGAACGTTCACCTTGGCCACCTTGATGTCATAGAGCTTGCGGACCGCGGCACGCACGTGGTTCTTGTTTGCGCGCAGGTGTGTGAGGAAGACCAGGGTGTTGTTGTCCTCGATCTTCTTCATGGCTGCTTCCGTGGTCAAGGGGTACTTGATGATATTGTAAGCATCCATGCGGTTCCTGGTGGGCACCGACTTCCTGGGGTACTTGGGGTTGCGGGGCAGCTTCAGGGTCGTGGGACGACGGAAGTGCACGTTGGTGCGAACCTTGCGGGTGCGGGTACCGAAAGCGCCCTTGATGATCTACAAGATTCAGAGACGAGCAGGAGGATGGATTAGCCAAGAGTTGACGAAAAGTAAATTTTCACAAAAAACTCACCTTCTTCTGCACCGTCTTGGCGTTCAGCAGAGCAACAGCCTTGGCCTTAGCAGTGCCCTTGGCGGGCTTAGCACCAACCTTAGCCTTCTTGGCCTTGGCGGCAGCGCGAGCCTTGGCGGAGAGCTTGGCCAGCACCGACTGTGGCTTCTTGCCGGCAGCGATCTTCTTTTTGGCATCCTTGACCTTTGGCTTGGCCTTGGTTGCCACCTTCTTCACGGCTGTGGGCTTCTTGACAGCAGCGGTAGCTGGCTTCTTGGCAGGAGCAGCCGCCTTCTTGGGAGCAGCAGCCGCGGGCTTGGCAGCAGCAGCTGGTGCCTCCTTCTTGGCAGCAGCTGGCGCCGCAGCCTTCTTCTGCTCTGGCTTCTTATCGCCAGGCTTGGCTGCAAGCAGAACACCAAATTATATTGATTAGTAAACATCTCTGAATGTGATACACACACACACAAAGTTAGGTTAAGCCTGATCTATCGGCACCGAAGCAAGCAAGACCACACCACACCATGTTCTAAAGTAAATTCCCGCTGGCAATTTCACTAGAATTTAATGTTAAACAAGTGTTCCATGCGCTGCAATCACTGGGCAAGCTCGTATACACTTTGCTCATTGTTTGCCGTGGTTGGACGCAGCCACACCGCACGTGGCGAAAACATGGCGATACATTTCAACTCATTTCTGCCTTAAATTCGTGATTTTATGCACATCTTTGATTTTCTGATTATAGTCCTTGCTTTAGCATTGCTTTTGGTGATAAATTCAAGCATTTTTAGTTCATTTTTATATGAAAAATCCTTACCGGATTTCTCGGTTGGCTTTTTGGGTGGCATTTCTACGAGAAAAAGAAATGAAAAGGAAAACCGAGGGGCGATTGTCAAAAAGCGGAAGCTGTTTTGACAGTAGAGCGGCCAGATCGCTCAAAACTTGCGCTTAACAGCACAAAAAGTTGCGCGTAACAGCGAAAGATATTTGCGCTTAACAGCACACTATGCTTGTGCACGTAACAGCACAAAACAATTGCGCTGTGAAAATGTCCACAAAAAACAGTTATAATTATTCGTACTTTTTAATATAAATTGCTTTATTTAACATAAAATTAATTGTAAAGGCTAGCAAGCACATCCATTTTTTTGCCTTGAGAAGCGACTGCTGAAATAGCTACGTAAATCTGCAAGAATAATTGCGTAAGCGCGATGATTTGTTGTGTTTCAACTAAAATGGTACCAAATGTTTGCGATTTCACAGATGCCAGCGTCGCCTGTTCCTGTGCTGTGCCTTTGAGCGATCCTAGCTGCTGCTTCACTGCCTCCTCAAAAGCCAATGCAGCCAGCCGTTGAAACAACTCCGTAACGTTAAAGCCGGAACGCGCCGATACGGACCAATATTCCGCATTAAGTTCGGCGGCCGCCATGCCCGCCAACCGCTCCATACGCATGAATTCCTCCTTTGTCTGCCAGGTGAATATGATTATTATTTATAACTGTATATATAGTTCCACTCACCAAGAGATCTGCCTTCGTGCCCACCAGAAAGACCAGTGGTCTGTGGCTTGAATTGTAGTTGAGTGCACTGGCCAGCCATTTCTTGGCAGATTCCAGGGTATCGCGTCGCGACATGTCATAGGTCGCCACAATCACTAATGGAAATTGGGTCTGAAGGGCAGAAAATGATAATTTTATGTACATACCACTTGCGTTGCGATAATAGGCGCCAGCGATGCACTTGAAGCGCTCCTGTCCGGCCGTATCCCACCTGGAAACCAAGCACAAATTGAAATAAAGGCGGAGCAAGGGAGCAAGTACACCACCTACATCTCCAGGCAGTAATTGTGACCAAGTATATTAAAGTTCTCCAGCTCAAAGTCCACGCCAATCGTTGCCTTGTAGTTGGACTGGAACTTGTCATAGCAGAAGCTAAAGAAGAACCCAACGATTTAGCAGCTTCTATGGCATTCGCTTCGATCCTGCACTCTCACCGATTTGCTATGGCCGTCTTGCCAACGGAGCAGTCGCCCACAAAGATGACCTTGCAGGGGCGAAACTTTGGCTTGCGTGGCAGCTCCAGATGATAGCGCACCTGCGGAGCAAAATCCTTCTCCCGGCTAAGCGGCGTCTGTGCGGGACTGTAGGCCGGAGGCAGGTTTCGGATTGTGGTCCGTGGATCGTGCATTGTAGCCGTGGGAGAAACGGGCAACTTCCGTAGTAGATGAGGCATTGTTAACGTTTCTATTTCAACTAATCAGCGCCACGACAGCCCCAAGTCGTCGTCAGCGTCATCGACTGCGCCACAAAACCACAAACTTCGTTGTCGTCGATGTCGTTGTCGTTGCCGTCGTTGGCGAGAGCGGCTTGAACTTGGTGGCTATGATATGCTCAAGGTACTCGAGGCTATCTTACACCTCGGGCTGTATTTTGCATTGTAAATGCAGGCGTCCGATAAGAGCAACTAAAACCAGGCTTACTTAATGGCTCAAGGTGCGGCAGGCAATCGAACATTTTCAACGCTTGGAACGCTTCTTTATTCATTGATAATCATACGCCTTTGGCTGCTTGTTGCCAGCGGGATAGCCAAAGTGGCCGACACTCTTCACCTGCTGCCGGAGATCAGGTTCCATGGCCAGCGCCTTGAAGATGGCTCGCTTCAGCTGCTTGTACTGAAAGTGCGGCGGAAAAGGCATGTCCTCGAACGAAAGCATCAGCAGATTGCCAGCCTCGTTGCCCACCGCCAAAGAGCGACCACAGTGGGCAAACCTAAAAGCTCAATGGATGGTTCAATGAGAAAATAGAATGGACTTTAAGTACACCCACCGAAAGGTTGTGTAGAAGATGGTGGCATCTATTGTGGTCGAGGACACCGGCTTCAGGGTGCTGTTGCGCAGATCCCAAATGTCCACGGTGCTGCGGGTGAGCGAGACCAGTATGGTGGAGTGGGTGCGACTCCAGCGGGCGCAGTGCACGGGCGACAGATGGTGGCGCAACGTGATGATCGGCGAGAGAATGCCAGCCAGCCAAATCCGTATGCACCTGTGGGAGATACCAAATAGGTACAGTCGGAGAATTCTTGAGAGATTCTCGCCTCACCAGTCGCTGCCGCAGGTGAGGTACAGCTTGGGGCTCCACGGCGAGAACTCCATGCCTACGGCTGGGCCATCGTGCGCCTGTCGCTGCTCCAGATGCTGCAGCGGATAGTTGGTGGAGCACTTGTAGAGGGTCCCCTCGTCTGTGAGAACATAGTAGATGTCCGCCTGCACCGGATCCAGCACCAGTTCGAGGCACTGCGGATGTCGATTGGCCAGCAGCGAGGCCGCCGGCACCGGACGATCGATCTTAATACCCTCCAGCTCGCCCTCGGCTCGTTGCAGACGCTGGTGTTCGAAGCCCAGCAGATGGGGACTGTTGATCATACGGTACTTGGTGACAGCGCCCGCCCGGGATATAGCCAGGAAGGGTGTAATCACGGCAGGGCCACCCACATGATCACCTGCCATTCGAATCCACTTGATGGCCGTCACAGGCTCAAAGTGCGGCGAGCTGCCGCGATGGGAAACGGCCAGCGGCGGCTGCTCCGGGTGCGATATATTGCGTACCTCGACGCTGCCATTATGTAGGCCGATGGCCAGCAGCTGGGGAGCTGATGGCGAGAACTCCACGGTGACCACTGGCACCTCGTAGTTGAAGCAGCGTTCGGGGTTCACCGGATTCTTGATGTTCCACACGTAGACGTAGCCGCAACGCGGCAAGTGGGACATCTTGGCATGGCTATAGACGCCATAGGCCACGGCCAAAATGTCGCCGTTGCTGGGACAGAAGCTCACGTCGCTCACCGCTTGATGGACCCTGGGGAGCGGCGAGGGTGGACTCAGGCGCCACAGAAGACCCAATCGGTACTTGAACTTGACATCCTCGGCCAGCGGATCGGGCAGTGACATATTCCGGTATCGCCGCTGCTGCGGTTCGTACACATTGCTCGCCAGGATGCGCATGGTCAGCATTAGGGCCAGCTTGAAGTTGGGCAGGCTGTTAATGGCCACAAACTGGTCCACACCGCCCACGCGATACGTGGTGACCTCCATATTCTGGGCGCCCTGCACCTGCACACTCGCCGTGGACGTCTCCAGGTCCTTGTACGTGTCGAACATCTCAAAGTTGGACACATACGAGCCAATCTGCTCGGTGGTCAGCCGTTCCGTGTTCACCAGGCGCGACTTCTTCAGCGCCGTAATGGTTTGGGTGTCCGAGTCGACGGTGCGTCGCGACTTGTCCGTGCCCGCCAGCAGTTCCTCATACCGCTGATTATCCTCGAGCACCAGTCGACCCTCCTCGGTGTCTGCCAGGGCGGTCATGCTGTGACGCTCGAACAGCACCACGGTGGGCGTCTTGCGCAGCAGCACCTTGATGAAGGGCGTGGCAGGAGCTTTGGCCGACTTGCGAGGCCTTTCAGCAGGTGCCGTAGCAGAGCCAGGGGTATAAGTCTCTTGGATAGACGGTGGCTTTGGCTTCTCCTCGCCCAGATGCAGCTTGTAGAGATTGATCTGAAATGGAGCTACGTCTGAGGCTATCGTTCAACGCTTGTTCCACTCACCCCCAGGGCAATGTCATCAAGCGAGGCCCGCATCACGCATTTGGTGCGATACTCGGGCGTCCGCAGTTTCTGCATCTGCTGCTGCTCCGCCGTGGAGGTCCTCATCAGCGGATGGTTCCTGATGACCAGGCTCAGCTGCTCGAAATCCGCAGTGCGGTACTCCTTCTTCAGTGTGCGGGACATTTTTCGCTATTGCAGAGCCTCGTGCCGCTGGCGGTGCGGTCCATCCAATTGTTTGTGTGGATGATGACATGGCAACGCATCGTTGCCACAACTACCACGCGCCGATTGCATTGGGCCTGTTGCAAGATGGAATTTCATTAGCCATATAACACATTACTGCATCTATCGGTGGTGCATCCATAAATATTTATAGTATTTTCAAAAGCACGCAACAACGATGCATAACGATAGGGTGGGAAGTGGCAGTGGAACGAATACAATCACGGGATACCCTTACTGAAACTTACAAGAAAAAAGCATTTATGTTTAAATATGCATATTTAGGTATATCAGATCCTTGAACTTAATCCAAACCAAATCTATTTTTTTGTAAACAAACCGCCATTTTACAGTATGACCGTTTTGCACATTTCTCTCTTCCTCTTCCATAATCCATAGCGCGATCCGCACGACTGCATTCGATCTATTGTGAATGGACAGCTGTAAGCACAGCATCAACAGTTTTTAATTGCAACTGCGCAATACTCTCACGGAAGGTGTGATAGTTGTGGAGCATAGGAAATATATTCAACAATCATGCAGACAGCGTCCAACTAATACGTAAGTTGACAAATCCAATCAAATTTTGCTTGCCAAATGCCCGCAATCCTATCTTCTTTCTTTTCTTGTTTCACATGGCTGCAGTCGCAGCAACACCATCCACTGTCTACTGTGAATGGACCACCGCACAAATTTCCGCGCGAAGCCGAACGAAAAATTTGTTAGTGCTATGACCTGTCGCAAGAAAAAACACTCCACTCGAAAAAGCAGAGGCCAAAAAGCAAGAAAAAGCAATTCAAATGAAATTTGTATTCCAATTAGACGCGTTCCAAAGCAATTTGCCCGGACCAAGGCATTAGAAAAAGGGTCTTTAATTCCGCCACAGCGGCTGACAATGGCCAAAAGATGGAACAGAGGAAGAAGTACTTTGATGTGTGTCCACATACACACACACACACATGCACATGTACACTCTCATATCTGTAAGTAGACGTCGAAAAAGAAGTTGTTTTATGTTAATTTGCTTTTATGCTTCGCTACGCTGATTCGCTTAATGAACAGACTGCGGCAGAAGCAGCGAACCGGCAGCGGTAAGCCAAGTGCAATATGTCAAATGGAGAGGCAAGAGTCCGCATGATGAGGAAGAAGTTTACTCCAGCATGGGGGCTCCGGGCTCCACTCTCCAGTGCACGCTAGTCTGGTCAGCGCAGCAGCAGGCGGCAGGAACAACTCAGTCAACGCATCAAAGCGTTAAGCAATAAAAGTGCAGGCAAACAAGAGCAACAAAAGCCAGAAACGTTTCCCGACTATCTTCCAGCTTTGCGTGCATTATGAACTTTGCACGAGCCAGCGATCACCTGTTGTTGTTACACATTTTTTGGCTCAGCCCAAGACGTCAGCAGAGGCAGCAATAACAATGCAGTCCGCGAAATTCACTGAACCGCCACCAACGCAGCGCTGGCTTCGACGTCGGCAGCGACTGAGACTGCGACTTCGCTGCCGTCAGTGTGCACACACTGAATAAATCTGGATATATTTTGGATTATAATTAAATAATATTTGAGGTACGTTTAAATAGGTTAAACGGTTTTAATAAGGAATGAAAATTTATAAATTTTGCATTCTTTGACCCACAGCCCAACGACAGCAAAGGAAGTAGCAGCAAAAATATACTCTCTGCGACTGCACACACCGAAATAATTCTGTAAATCTTTAAGAAGGTAAGTTTTAATATCAATTAATTGCTAGAAATATTTTATAAATTACAACCATTCCAACGACATCTTGGGGGCGACACCCATCCTCCTAAACACGTTCATAAATTATATTTTTACGAACATCTAATTGTCCCCCGCACGCCCTCCAAACCCATAAAACGTTACGTCCATTCAGTGGTTCATCGCGATGGGGCCTATCAGATGGTGCCGGGCCCTTAAATGGCATTCTTCTTTATAGTTCATTCATTCATATAAGTTTTTACACCTGTTTTATTTCTCCACTGGCCCCAATGTGCGCTGGGCGACGCCAACAGTGACGCGGACGTGAATGTGGACGCCAACGGCGACGCTGGCAGTCCGCAGTCGGCGCAACTGTTTGGTGTAACATATTTTCTTTTTCATTTTTTATTGTAGCACGGTGCTCCGCAGCGGAGCACGATAGTAGCAGGGCCCAGACGCGTTTAAGCCAAGCCTCATATATGTATATACTTTTTTTTTCGTAACAAAAACCGACTTTTTATTCGTTAATTAACCGTCGTGAGGGGCAGAAGTGTTTTGGCTGTGGCTCTGGCTCTGCTCTGGCTCCGGGTATTTGGGCGTGAAAACCGCTTAACGGAAGCGCTTGCGGAAACTTGCGGCGGGGACAGGTCCCACAATTGAGTCCACTGTCCCACCAGATGACACATGACACTTTGACTTTGACAAAAACAAATCGAAAACGCTGCTGCTGCTAAAGAAGAAGAAGAAGTAGGGGAAAAAGGAGAAACACCTGAGCTAATCGCTCCACATTGAGCATAACTTTCTTGAAACGCCGGCCGCTCTGCCGCTGCCACTTGTCCCATGAGTGTGCGTGTGTGAGTGAGCGCAGTCATAATTTGTGTCGCGCACCACTTTCGGTCACTCAAGCTCGGTCTTGGTCTCGGTCTCTGTTTCTGTCTCGTCTCTGCCCTCGTCGACTGCAGACTGCAGCTACAGTTGCATTTGAACCCGGCGCGTGCTTGTGCCTGGACGACTTGTCGCCCGATCCATGCTGTCCCATTCCCAGGGTGTGATTATTCGAAAGGTGGCGCGTGCTCAGTGAAATGACTCAAGAATGTGTCTAGTGCCGGTGAAACATTGAGTAATTCGAATTTTATGTTAATCAGTGCTGATTCGCGCTTCGATTTGCTTTCCATAATTAATGCGAGCTCTGTCAAATGTTAACAGCATTTCGCAATAATAAAACAAATAAAACAAAAAACACCCGCATAACCCTAAACGTGTTCACCCAACGAAACTAATCAACGATCTTATCAAGCGGACAACGAATCCAATCAGCAAAATGTTGTTTTGGAAGCGTCTTCGTCGCTCCCCCAATGCTGCAACACTCACGACAGACGACTCTCGGCCCAGTAAGTTTTTTTCTTCTTTTTTTTTTTAACTTTTGTTTTTCGGCTTCCATATGAATGTGTATGGCCACGCCCCCCGCCCACATGGCGCCCAGCCGAAAGAATTGGGAAAGAGAGAAAAATTGATTTTTGGTTTTGTCAGGTGGATATCGGTTTTTGGATTCGAATATTGCTCGGTTTTGGGCCACACGAAATCTCATCTCATTTGCATAATTTGCATCTTAAAAATTATTTCTGTTTCGGTTGCTGGTTTGTTGTTGTTGTTGCTTTTGACTGGTTTTTATTGATTTGATTTTGAGATTTTGTGATTCCCGTCTCCGTCTCCCCGGGCAGACCCAGTGCCCAATGTCCATGCTCATGGACCCATCCTCATCTCGAATGTCGCCGCATAATAAATAACCAAGACACATTTTATCACCTACAAAATGCCTCAAACCATAGGCCTGAAGTCTCCTCCAAGCCAGACAAATACAAATGAGAGCGAGAGCAAGACCCAACCCTATCCATTCCATTCATTGGAATGAATAATATCTTCTATCTGCTCATTATACGAATTCTCACAGATCTGACGCACATCTCTGCTGGGTGCGGGGAGGGGTAGATCTCTTTAGTGAATGATGCTTGCCAAAAAGATTTATGAATGGATTTTATGTGTTTAACATAATTATGCATATCGCAGAGACTGCCAGAAGATAATATCTCACTATTCCGATGGCAGATATTGAAAGAGAAGTTTGGAAAGCGCCAAAACGCTATCAAAGCATGAACATTCTTTGGCTAATCCATGTTTAGATATCCTCCATGCTGTAGTCTGGGTTCCATCTCAGACCACAATCAGGTGTCACAACAGATTTGTCCCCATGAGCAACGAGGTGTAGCGGCCAAGTGCCAGCGCCATTCCATCAGCAGATTCCTTCAATTTTTCAGATGTGGTTGCGCCTGCGCTTCTCCCATTTCATTTCTGCTCCATAACTTTCCACCTAAGTGCCGCCGACTATCTGTCTGAGCCGATGATGGTTGAGACACTGCCTTTCCGCTCCTCTCCTCTGTCTCTCTGCGTCTGGCGATCCCGCGTTCTTGGGTTTTTATTTTGGTGAACATGACTTTGACTTGTGGTAATTTGATGTTAATGACAATCATCAGCCGAGGGACACAGACAGCACCAACAGTCGCAGCCGCAGCCGCAGTCACAGCCACAGCAGTGGTAAGACATCGACACCACCAACAAGTAAACAAGTAGAAGAACCCCAACAGCAACACCAACCACAACTCCTTGGACACCAGAGCACGCTTAACACGATTCTGAAAGATCTCCGAATCGTCTGCCTGACTGCCTGCCTGCCTGACTGCCTGCCAGCCAAAGAGACATTTTTATGTGCGTTCCGTTCCCAAAAGTCGTGGCCCATAATCGGCTTAGACATAGGTCGTCTCTCCTCCCCCCGCCTCACTCCTGTTGCGGTCAGGCGTTGACACTTTTGGCTATTGAGTCCATTTAGGCATTCGTGTTATTAGTTCGTGGCCAGGGTCTTCTGTTTTTCCACTATCCACTATCCCCCTCGACTATTCTCCCCTATCCCCCTTCATTCGCTATAAACTAGCTTGTTTTATGGCTTTTGGTTGCTGCACAGTGCGATATCAAAAAATGAGTTCAGCGTTTTGTTGTGACACTTTAATGGGTTTTTGGTAGAGGGAGAGAGCGAAAGAGACACTATCTTCTGACCCTTTTCCAGATGGTTATCAATGTTACAAAATAGTTTTCGATTATTCAGCTGAAAATTGTAAACAGATTTAAGAGTTATAAACCGAATAATACCACAGTTACGTTACCAGAATATTTGTATTCATATTGGCGAATGATTTATATTTATTTTACTATTTACTATAATTACTTTAAATACATAAATAGCTGAATCAGTCTCAGTTGCTGCGATTCGAAACGAATGTGTCTGTTCTTTTATGGGAACTTTTTATATAGCGAATGCAGTGGAAGTTCCCTCCACTCTTAAGAGGCAGACTATAAGTAATATATATGTATGGCCCCTTTTATAAGTTGTTTAATTCCCATAAATTCCATTTGTAGATCTTTCAGTTAACCCTTTCCCCCACACACACACACACACACGCAGACACCCACACATAAACACTACACCACTTGCTGTGATTTCTGCGCTCTCTCTTTCTCTTCCTCTGTACATTCCGCACATTGTCTGAGGGGGATTGGGGGGTATGTACTCTCGAAAATCGTCTGCAAATTGCTCATAAATTACATGAAAAACCGTCGCAATGCCAAAAGCCTGCACCTACACCATCATTATCAGCTTGTAAATAAAAAGACTTTATCAATCGTTAAGCCCCAAGCGGAATATAACCGCCGCTTGTCCAGGTTCCAGGGTGCAGGGTTCCAGGGGTCGTGGCAGACAAGGGGCCGAACCGTGGACCCGAGCAAAGATTTTGGCCCCGAAAGCCAACTCTCTCACCTAATAACATAAAAGTTATCTGCAAGGGAGAGATCACAAGGAGGGGCAGAAGGCAGAAGGCAGGACGAAGTTGGAGTTGAAGCTGAAGCTGGAGCTGAAGCTGACGCTGGAAGATGAAGGTGGGATCCCCCCGAACCGAAGTACAAATATTTTTATTTATGATTTTACAGATCAGCATATTGCTCAATAATTTTACCGCAACCCAGCAACAAAATAACTTTCAAATTATGATTACTGGACTGCATCCAGGCAGATGGATCGAATCCTCTCGCTTAAGTGCACCAATTTTGAAATTATTATTGCCGGCTGCGTATGCAGATAATCGTGACCTGATAGAAGGGAGGGTCGGAACCCCGTCGCAATAATTCAACCCAAAACCGAAATTCCAATACAAAAACGTTCTCAAAGAGCACTGGATGTTCTTATGTTCTCTTGTAGATGGTAGTAGATGGTGTTTGTGGATTGTACGATAACTGATGGAGCTTTTATTTAATTACTCTATTTGTGATAGTTTTGGGTCAAGATCTGGCCGAACTTGGGGGCCCTAGGATGATCCGTCTGTGGGTCGTCGGGTATTTGGGGCAGCGTTAATATTTTCCCATAAATTATTTGGGGGCTAAGAGAAAATTGCCTTAAAATTTATGGGGCTCCGTATGACCGTGTGGATATTCCTTGGTTCGTACGGGGCAGCATCTTACACGCTGATTTGGCCCTTTTTTTTATTTTTTTTACTTTGTTTTTGGTTTCTTTTGCAATTTATGTGCCAGCCATGAGAACAGGTAAAGCGGCGGCGACCTGGTGGTGCTGTGCTGAGCTGTGCTGTTGGTGCTTTATGCCTTTTATACGTGGACTGCAATGATATCCACAGCATAACGTGTTTCCCCCCCATCCGTCCTGCAAGTGGGCGGACCTTGGAAAGTTCGCACGATTGATGATCGACTGACTCTCCAACTCGGAGTGCGAGTGCGAGTCGGATTCAGACTTGAACTTGGGTGAGCGACTGTCGGTCGTCGGTCCTCGTCGGGCAGTTCCGATGACGCCGTCCTGTCACCGCACTGACATCGCCGTTTATGTAATTACACGCTCGCCGATCCGCTCGATCCGTCGGATCCATCACAAAGCGATCGCGATCGCACACACAGCCACATACATATGTATGTATGTATGTGCGTCTCCTGCTACGGCTCCCCAGCTTTGTAATTATTTTCTACTTAATCTTCATCACATGTGAAACATGTCGAAAAGTTAAGCGTACGGTATGGATGCGTGGCATCCACACAGTCCACTCCCCCTCGCAGCGGGCGTTGCATTTCTCTTTGGAATTCACTTGCATTCGATTTGGATTGGTGGTGCTTGCATTTCTAATTGATAATAGCTGCTTGGTAAAGGCCAGAGAACTGTGAAGAAAGACCCTGGAAGAAGACGTTCGAAGCTAATCAAAAGAAATCGGAAGAAATAAGAATAAAAAATATAAAATGTAGAACATGAACAAGAATAACCGAGATAAACAATTAAATGATTCGATGATAATGAATATATTTTCGTAAACCCTGAAGATCTCACAAGCCAAAGTAAACGTTTTCTTTTATTCGTTTAACAAAGAAACTTCAAGTTAATAAACATTCAGTGACTCCAACAAAGACTCCATTACACATTGAAGAAATCACGTAATCGTCTGTAAATCACATGGAACAATCCCCCCCCACATCTGGTTATCTACCGCTGCTCTCTCCCCCTCTCCCGCTGGGCTGCTGCCGCTGGCACGTTCGTTTCGGCCCTGACTCTCTGGCTCTGACTCTGGCTCTGTCTCTGACTCCGAGTGAAAATGAAATGGTCAATGTGCGTGCAAAAGATCTTTCCGCAAGAGTTCCCCAACTCACACTCGGGCACCCTCTTCTCTGCTTCCTTCTTCTCTGCCCCATTCTCACACTGTCGTTTTTTGTGGTTCTCTTTTGTGGTACGTACGTTGTCGTACGTGTAGGTGCATTGCATATCAGGTGTTTTAGGGCCTCTGGCATGCAGATGAAACCCAAAGGAGATCTCGTTCGCGTTTTGGAGGAGGTCAACCTCTGACCGAATTTCAAGCGATAATTATCGGCTGGCGTGCAAATATGCGGAAAGAATTCCTACCCTTTTTTCCTGGGATTATTTTTGGGGCTGCGCTTTAAATGGAACTAATTAAATTTGGCCACAGAAAGCGTTGAATTTCTGTGCGTTCGGGGAACACACACATACACACACAGACACAGATAATTCGGGGGGGCTTGTAAATCCGTTCGGCCGCTTGGCTGGTAACGCCCCCACCACACACACACACACACACACTCGAGAAGCACCACTCGATGCTGCTCTAATATGCAGCCAAATTGGGGCACAAGCACTCGGCACTCCCTCCAGCAGTCACACACTTCGCACTGATTTAGTGTCATATAAAGTTGTAAGTGAAGATTATGTTACCAGAATTAATTGCTGCCAAGGTGCAGGTAACAAGGCACAGGAGAGAAAAGGGAGAGAGAGAGAGAGAGA